CCAGTTTATAACCGATGAAACATGATGGTATCAGAATAATCACTTACATGTGATGTATAGGATGCTACGGTCACTAAAGATAAAGTGTCAGGAGAAATAAGCAAGATACTGTTTAACAGTAAATAGAAGTTCACATTTTTAATGTAAATAAAATAGAAGTTGTACATGTAAATTAACATTATCAATATAAAATAAAGTGTCAGTTGTATCAAGACTATATAATAACAGTAATAACAATAATATAAAATGAACTGGTGAGCATCTTGTCCTCCGTTTCCTGGGCCTTGGTGAACAGCACCATCTGATCCCCGTGCATCGACTCTTTCACCACGGCACGCCGGTCCTCCAACGCCTGGGCGGTGTCAAAGAAATTCGCATCCCGTGTCCGCTTTCCTAAGAGGGGAAAATAAGCAAGATACAAGATCTGTTTAGTCGCCATGTAGTTTTACAACATACTAGGAATGTTTTTTTGGTATTTTCACAAATAGAATTAAGGTTTCACAAATCTGAAACTGTGTTATAAAGAATGTTTAGCCTCTCTGGGATAATCCAGTCCAAATAAATCGGCTATGCAGCGATTTAAGAGGTTCAAACACGGAGGATTGTTCCTTTTTGAAGAGTGCTTCATGTATGCTTGAACTTTGTTTAATGTTGTTGAGGCAAGTTTTCTTACCGGAAGTCATGTGACCTCTAGCCCGGATGTTTACAATGTTTGTGAGAGAGTAAAAAGGCGCGAACGTAAATGCCGGTCTAGGCGAATACGTTTTCACGCTGTTTCATAATTGTACCAAGAAGGAAATAAACATGATTGTGAACATCAGTTCGATGCGTAACGTTCTTTCAAGACAAAGTTACAGTGTGTGTACCTTTGCGTTTGGTTGCTGGTAAGGAGGACGACCAAGCGCTGTGATCTAGAATGCAAAGCTCGCTTGTTTCCAATCCCGAGAGTTGTCCATCCTCGCCTGAAACAGACAATTAGTGCCATGAGTTAGTGAAGCAAATTACAGAAACACTGCACAGTTATTCACAAGTCAAAACGTTTTCATAGCGGCCGAGAATATCTAGCTAGCTAGATGTAGCTAGCTCGGGGCCGGTGTTAGCCTATTCAGCCTAGCATGGCTAGCTTGATCTACTGAGCAAATAAAAGTACATCTGAGACCATTATTGTGCAGATTAAAACCCCAGTGCATGTAGTTGATTTTACCTTCGTCGTGGTAGTCATCGTTGGCCACTGAATCCGCCGTTTGTAGTCCTGCCTGAGTTTCTTTATTTTTAGCCGGTGGGGCTGTGCACGATTCCCAGGTCGAGTGAAAGCTACTGAACTGGCTTCAGTAGCATTCCCTGGGTCGCGTCCTCGGCGTAGATCTCCAGAAGCGCCGACACCTCCTCATAATTTCTTGATGCTTGCCATAACTGCTTTCAAAAACAAACCCAACGCTCCGTCGGTGCGTTGGGTTTTTGTAGCGAGGAAAAACAATGGCGTCTCCACACAACATTTTCACAGTTGTACGGGCGTGGTTTGCAATTCGCCCAGCCAATCAGCACTGGGGCACTTTTCACCCACAGGAAAGTACGATCTCTCAGCAGGCTCTAAAAATGGGGGTAAAAGTTCCCGAGATTAAGTACGATTTTTGGTGTGAACGCGACATAAGGGGTACTAACGGAACTAAACGCGAAAAGTACGGTGAAAAGTACTCCGGTGTGAACGCGGCTATTCATCGCAAGAAGTGTAGCAATAGTCAAGGCCGCAGATTCGTCGATTTATACTGCCACAGAGCAGATTTGTGAAGTTGTAATGACTGATTTGAGAGGTTGTAATAACGAAGTTGCAGTTGTAATGGAAAATATATTTTAAAAATATATATTTTTCTGCAAGTGAACATTTCATCACTAAGTTCATTTTTTTTCTACGAGCTACAAAACTTTTTTTTTTCTTCTGTGACTTCAAATTTGGTTCACAGATACGTGGATATTTTATACAAGTGTAAATGTATGCACACACGAATATTCAGATACGCTCAAAATGTTATGGGCTCAGAACAGTCTCATAATACACACATGCACACAGAAGGATTCACACTTGTATTTCATGATCCGCAAAAGGATTCACACTTGTATTTCCGGATCCACACTTGTGTTTTTCAATGCACACACAAATGTGTTCCGTTTCATATACATGTAAATAAAATCCAAATACAGAAAAAAGTTTTACATATGTATTTTTGATCCTCACATATTTGTTTTCCGTTTAAATCCCCTGCACCTACAAACACAAACCGCTCTCTGTGCATCGATCGCTGTGCAATCGTGTGTGGGTTTTTTGAGACTCCCCTGACGGTCACCCGATTCGTACTTGTAATTTTTTCTATCTATAGCCAATCAGATGTCTCCTCAATTCTAAGCCAATCACATGAGCGTGCCCCCACGAGGGTATGATTTATTGCGTTCATGACACTTCATATACGCATTTTGCGCTGTCCGGAGCACGGTTTCCGCGGACAGAATTTATTTTACCGGACAAATTTGAAACTTACCGGTCATGTTTCAATAATAATAATAAGAAGAATTGTGTAGCAGAGTTTCCGTTAGCAGGTAATTACCGGACTATGACCGGATATGGCTAATAACACGGGAGTAAGGATCATCTCTTTTTTCCTCTCTCCTGACAGCCCGTCAGTTTCTCATGCAGCTCGCTAACACTTCACTCGCGTTTATGTCCATATCGATCAGATCCAGCTCTCCTGATCGGCCTTTATAGAGAGCACCGATCAAACTATTAAGAGTGAATATCGGCCGATAATGACCGGCGGGGCTCCCCCCCGTTGACAGTTCACTGTCTAGCACTGGCTTCGTAGTGCACTGATCGATTAGGCTAAGCTAACCTGTAGCTGCTCCCTCCACACTCACAACAACTTCATACAGACATAAATAAAGCAGCTGTATTCGCTATACAGGAAACACACATTTAAAATGGTTTTGCCTGCCGTTTTTGTGTACACAAGCATTCATTAATGGTTCGGAAAGTGGCACTGTACCTTAATAATATAAAGGCTTGTATTTGCGTGCATTTCCTGCTCGGAAAGTGGCAATGTACTGAGAGTGGAGGTGTCCTGAGATTAGCGCCTGCAGGCAGGCTCCATGGACCTGTCAGCTCCGGACAGCGCAAAATGCGTACATGAAGCGCTACGTCATGAACGCAAGAAATCTACCCTCGTGGGGGCGCGCTCATGTGATTGGCTTAGAATTGAGGAGACATCTGATTGGCTATAGATAGAAAACATTACAAGTACGAATCGGGTGACCGTCAGGAGAGTCTCAAAAAACCCACACACGAATGCACAGCGATCCATGCACAGAAAGCGGTTTGTGTTTGTAGGTGCAGCGGTTTTAAATGGAAAACAAATATGTGAGGATCAAAAATACATATGTAAAACTTTTTTCTGTATTTGGATTTTATTTACATGTATATGAAACGGAACACATTTGTGTGTGCATTGACAAACACAAGTGTGGATCCGGAAATACAAGTGTGAATCCTTTTGCGGATCATGAAATACAAGTGTGAATCCTTCTGTGTGCATGTGTGTATTATGAGACTGTTCTGAGCCCATAAAATGTCCCCCCCAATATATAGCCTAACTGATATAAAAAAAAAAAATGACTATGACTTTTTTATTTTGGCTATTTGTATACTTGAAAATCTTTATTTTCTGTTATTATGAACTTCTACAAAATTATATATATTTTTTTCACATGTAAATTGGTTCTGCCTTTGTTTGTTTATGCATACCTTTATTTTGTACCCGGGGGGTGTATTTCGCTGTCGCACGTCCGAGTCCAGCTTCAGTTAGCGTTGATGCTCCAAGCAGGTCAGACATGTTTTAATTTGCCCTCCATCAGTTCTTGTATCTTTTTCTAGTTAGCCCTAAACTAATCTATATTATTTTATTTCGTAATGGTAATGTTAATGAACCCTCCGGTTTAGCTTCTTTGTGTAAATAACTTGTAGTTCTGATGTTAAAACTGAACTTTTCAGGAATAGTAGCTAAGGGAGTAAAATATGCATAAAGAAAAAGTAAATCTGTTTACAGTTCTGTTTCATATGGGTGTTGAGAGATGTATCCATAGATCTCTTCATTTTGCTCTCAAAGTGCACCAGATTGATGCTTTTAACTTCAACATTTAAAAATGGGAGCATGCCCCCGGACCCCCTCAGAGGAGGTTAGGTCCACCACCTGCCCACACCCCCCGTCAAATTGTCCCACCCACATTGAGGATGCTTCCTACGCCCATGCCTGAGACACAGTTTAGTGAATATTGTTGTTTTTTGCCCCCACGGGCGGGGCATGGGGTTTAACAGGTTTTAAAGTATCCCATGTGTTAGTGAATTTTTATATATTTTCCTTTAGAATGGCAGGAAATTAGTATTCAAATTTTGATTGAATTTGTGGTCCCCCCCCCCCAATGTAGACTCCATGGTTACGGCCTTGCACAAGTATACTAGGCCAATAGAACAACTGTTTACTACATCCCCCATGCACTTGCTGAGAGACACGGGAAAGACTTTCCATTGTATGCGACTTTATTCTTATACTCTGCTATATTTCAGGGGACTATATTGTACTTTTTTCAGTATTTTCTAGTTAGTTATTCTAGTTTTTGTTTTTAGCTGGGTTAATAAACGACCCACACGCTGTGTATCGTCAAAGACGTTATTGGTCGAAACAAGAACTTCATTTTCTATTATAACAAAACACTGCACAATAAGTGACTTTCGGTAAGCCCTCCAAGTGACAGATTTAGCTCTGCACGACTCAACAGTTTGTCCTTGAAGCGGCACCATGGCTGCTGCAGGCAGTGGCGCGTTTACGGCGCATTCACTGACGCGCACACTCATCTCAACAAGTCTCTTTTCTGGGGGGGCACACACCCTCTCGACCAATCAGCGTGGCCCTGGCTGGGAGGGAGTGCAGAGTATGAAGAGACTTCACAGCGCGCTACATAAACCCCGCGGCACTTTTTTCTATTGAATGCGCCTTTGGGTCTCCACTTCAGGCTGATTCAGGGCACCTCGTGGGGTTTAAAGTGAACCGCTTCATTATTAACTGAGTGTAAACAGACTTTTTTCGCTCCTCTTTAACTTGGAAACTCGTACAGCAAACATCTCAAACCGTTACACTCAGTTGCATAAAAGAGGCAACCCCGTGTCTTGAGGAAAGCAAAGTTGTATGCGCTTAAAGCAACTTTCTATGAGTGTTGCAGGGAAACATAGGACAGCTTTATAACGGACATTAAGGTCTCCATTCATCCTCAAGAGTCTCTCTGTGTTTTGGAGCACCTGCGAACATGACCAGACGCTCCTGCACGCTTTATGCGGTCGGGGTGATATGCAGCACCCTGCTGGTGGTCGGGATTGGTTTAGTAGTGAGCCAAGTTTTCCGCACCTTCATGCACAACCGCCTCAAAAAGGTAAACACACACGTTCATCCTCTTAACGCACATGATTGTTTCATGATTGCATTTGTTGTGTTTGTCTTTAGAGTCTGTTGAACATGATAGAAAGCACTGTGAGACTGTTGGGATTGTACTAGTTTTCAAATTACTATACAAATCACTGCTTTTTGCTACACCAGAAGATTAAAGTGCATGACTACGTTTTGCAATTGACTCCTTATCATTATAACAGTCCATTAGGATGTTAAGATGCCAGAAACTGGCCCAACAATTTAACTGCATTGTTATTAATCTGCTTTTAACTTTGAATAACATTTTTGCAGGACAAAACACTTTGCTGCTGTTTGATTTGTTATCTTGTATAAGCCTATGAGATGTTAAGTATTTAGGGGATCTATTTTCAGAAATTTAATATTATATTATTAACTATGTTTTTATTAGTGAATTAATCACCTACACATTTCAATTGTTGTGTTTTCGCCATGTTGCACTGCTATGTTTCTTTGCTGCTGTTTTTTGTTTTATTATCATGTTTTAGCCTATAAGATATGGTTGCTCATCATTGGAGTTGTGTCTGTTAGTATGACTTACATGTGTTGTATTGTAGAGTGATGGGTTATATCCCAGAAGGAGTGGCTTTAATAAACAACTTGAACTCCTTGAGGTGGAGGAGGCTGGGTTTACAAGATTTCAGTCGCCTGCTCTGGGCAATCAGAACTTTCTCTTCCCCAAAGTGAGATTAGCCTTGTAAAAGTCAAAAGGCATTTACCATAGCATGCATGTTGGAAGACTTTTCCAATGAAGTATTTTCCCAGCACATGTCCCAATGCTTTACATTCCACCTTCAATGCTTGTTGAGGCTGGGTCGGCTTGTTTTTGGTATTGGTTGGATTTTCAATGCGTCACAAAGAAAAGTTGAGTCTGTAAACCAGAACATTACATTAAGATTTCATTCGGTCACACATTGCTCACTACAGTGGCTTGATTTACAATGCCTCCTTGCAAGAGATTCCTAAGATCCATGTTTGAATATGATTAATAGAGATGAAAAGCACAGCATGAGCTGAACTGAAGTACTTGTCATTGTTGATATCTTAGGATATCAGTTAAAAAGGAAAATTGAAAATAGAGCCGCTGCAACTACGATCCTTCAATGCATTAACTCATAAGTTTACTTTATTTGATGTCAATCAATTAACCTCATAAGTCCTTGTTTGTTGAAAAGTGATTAATCATTTATTTTAGAGATTGCCTCTACACTCTCAATTTCTCCTACTATCAATGAATCTGCATACTTATTTTTTCTATGAATCATGTGATCCATGAAATGTCAGAAATTAGGCAGAAATGCTCATCACAATTTCCGTGACATTTGTATTATACAACCCACACTTGGAAAAAAATGAAAAGGCCAGTGTAGTATTTAGAAGGATCAGCAAAAATTGAAAATAGTTTCAGAAAAAATTAGGATGGTGTTTGCGCCATGTTGCACTGCCATGTTTTTACACTGCCATGTTTTTACACTGTAGTTCCCCAACCTGATGCGGAAAAAAACTGTGGGAACATCAGCTGCTGCCTGAATTCCATGCTTCTGAAGTAGTCTTAAATAAGGATGTTCTCAGGGTAAGGATCCTTTAGACCCTGCGGCTTGTTATTGCAGTCTTGTAAAAGGAAGGGTGAGCTGAGGAACATTCAGTTGGTTGCAATCTGCAACCACAAGGCTAGATGCCGCCAAATCTGACCAATACTTTGATTATTCAATGTTTTGTTCTCTTCAGTTGATCGGTTAGCCAATTAATCAACTCATTATTTCAGCCTTCGTAAATAACACTCAGGGTTCCTACGGTCATTAAAAACCTGGAAAAGTCATGGAAATTCAAAATGCTAATTCCAGGCCCTGGAAAAGTTATGGAAAACAATATTTTTCCCAAAGTTTTGGAAAAGTCATGGAAATGTAACCAAAGTTGCATCAAATATAATTTATATTTTATCTAATCGCCGAAATAGTAATACTATAATGATAATAAATACTGTATCGTATAGTAATGAAACGTAAAATGGCATTTAACTGTCGAGGTATTTTGCTTGTGAGAGATTTACAATCACGCCCTCTAGTCTGTAGGAGCTAGTAAGCCTACTATTTGATTTGTCTTAGATAGGCACAACATGTTTCATATGCAGACTTTTTTTTCCAGCTTACCATGTTAAAGGTGGGTAGGTAATTTTGGAGAAACCAGCTCGAGTGCGCTAGAATTTGAAAATACACAGCCGGAACAAATCTGCCACTTCCTTACAGAGCCCCTCCTCCGGCTCCAGCACACACGAACGCGCACATGACCAATGAGGGCACGAGATAAGTTTGTGCCCCGATGGAAGACTGACAGGCAGGTAGGCCATCCAGTTACTTTAGCCGGGCCGGCTAAAATGATTGGTCGTGCTTTTTACAGTACTACGGCTTCCACAGATGACATTTTTGTTATGGATTTTTTGTCAAAGCACTTAAGATATTCATTGCTATCGGGATGTTAAGAGCATTCCATGGAATATAACAAAAAGTGTATGTAGTGTTAAAGGGGACCTATCATGCAAAATGCACTTTTGTACGTCTTTTATACATGAATATGTGTCCCCGGTGTTCCAGGGAACTCACCAAGTGTCAGAAAACACAACCCTCTCTATTTTCCTCCATACCCAAATCTCTAAAAAAGGGAATGCAACGGATCTGATAAAAACTGATCCAGATTTGAACACTGCCCTGACGTCAGGACGGTGGCGCTACGGCTATTGGGCCAACTCCACCAATCAGGAGGAGACAGCCACGGCCATTGCCGTTCGAAAGCGCTGGAGACGCTGTAGTACATATGCCAGGCCAGTAGATGGTGCTGTTCTCACATAATCTGCCCTTGCTAAAACAGAGCTAGAAATTGTCAAATTTAGCAAAATGAGGCATGGCTAAAATGCATGATCTGTTTGGTATTTTGAAAAAAAAAAAGTATAAATATGCCTTATATAGGTATGGTCCTACTCTATATTATTCAAATATAGCATGATAGGTCCACTTTAACATAAAAATGTTTCAGTGGTACCTGCATCAGTGAAAGCATTTGCTCAGCACCAGTAATCATACTTCAGACCTCCTGCTTTTTTGTTGTTGTACATTACCAGAATTGCGCTCCATACATTAAGTAATTGTAAGTTAAGGCTCAGATATTTCCTGGATTTCCAATATTTCAGACTGTAAGTGATGTTCGAAGGATTCCCAGAAGGCTCACTTACTCTGATAACAGTGCACACATGAAAGTACAGTAATGTTCAGTATTATCATGTGACACACCTTCCCTATTTTCATATCAAACATGCCTCTCCATAACACGTATCAGATGGCTTATCAGAGAGGCTTTGACTTTAGAAGTCATGGGATGTATTTACAATGCTTTCTAGTGCCAGGATTTGCTCCTATTACTGACATTGTTACATTTAAATACAATTACAATTGAATGTACTAATATATAGATGTGAACATATCTCAACATATCAGGAAGATCATCATTGGTTCACGTGGTGCATGGATGATGTTTAGTTTATTTTGATCACAGATGAGTTCACAATTGAAAGTTGGATGCTTTGATGTCATACGATAATTGTCGTTAACATGTGAACTCATTTCCTTCAACAACAACATAAATAGCTTACTATTTGTTGGAGTTATTAATAAAATCATCAACCGCTGTAAAGTCCTGTTGAACATCCCTGTTAGTATTTACTTTGAGACTTTTAGAATTACTGCGATAAAATATACTGTTTGCTTAAAGTCATTGGCCTTAGGACATCTGGTGCGGCACTTCCAAGAGTTTAGGCTAACTGATGGTTTATGAAGATACTTTTATTGACCTGTCAGAAAAGCCCAAGTGTTTGGGGTCGAATCCGGACAAAAATGTACTGAGATCCAGAGATTTAAGGGATTTCTGTGCAAAGCTGCGCTAGATTTAAGCAGTTTGGATCTGGTTTGGTGCCAATGATAAATATAATTTTGAGGTTGCGTGTAGTGTACTATTTGCCAAGTTATAATACATCATTAGCCCAGATGGACAAAACAAAGTGGCAGTAAACAAATCATACAGTCAGATGTTCATTTTCTCCAAACTTATTTCTAAAACTTTTTTTTCCCGTTTAAGGCAACGAGCATTTTAAGTAATTTGCAGACTATACCGTTCTGGACCGTGAACGACGAGTTCTGCTTCTCGTGTTAACAAATGTTCATATGTCTTATTCATTATTTTATAGTTTAATACATGCAGAGACAGAGCAACAGGATGCATTACATAAGCATTAATTATGCTAAGTAGTTTCCATCCCCTCGAGAGCATTAACTACACTAACAGGTGGACATGTTAAATAATCTTATGTGTGGGTGTGACACATGCGTAGCGCTGCAGCCACATGGTTATCTACTAGTAGCCTGTCAGCAGTATGATTTATTTCAGCCGTATCAAGTTCGCCCTTACCCCAGTTGCACCAGTGTGAAAGATCCCATTCCTCAGATACCCTCCCAGCAGTAGACTAACTGTGTGTGCTAAGCCTCTTTCACACTGCAAGGTTTATTGAGAAAGGGTTGGCAGCCCCTCAGCTTCCATGCGAGTCAAGCGGGATCAACAGCCTTCTCATGGGATGATGGTGAAAAATGAGTTGCGTCTGATCAGGAATTTGGTAATTTTACAAAAACTAGACTAAACATATAGGCCAGCGAACCCGAAAGTCAGCTTTAGTCCGTTGTTATTATGGGATAAGAGGTGTTAGCCCAGACAATAGAGCTTCACACACTTTTGTACTTTTACTCAAGTAAAATCTTCAATACAGGATTGTACACTGTATGTTTAACCATTTTACACTACTTTCACTGAAGTCAAAGTTTGAAATACCTTTTTTGCCAATTAATTAGCTTAAAATCATGTTCGGACGCCATTATTAATTTCTCACCTGTAGAGCCAATTTCCATATATGTGGCTCGCCAGGCTATGTCTTTTATGGTCTTTGGAGGAATTTTGTGCCCTAAACCTCGGGATATTTCTCGACAACTAGTCTATGATAATCTCTTCTAAACTGGAATTTTGCCCTATAATAGACTGGATTACCAAGGTCATTAGGTTTCTCTCTTGGCAACATGGATGTCTTTGCCAAACATTACAACATTCAATTTCAATGGCTGCCAAGACGTTTCACAAAAACCGTTTCAACCAGCTGATGGCACAAGAGGAAAAGTCAGCTGATCACATCTAACTTTCCATGAGTGTGTCTTTTACCAGTATAGCAGCTACTTTTCATCAACTGGTTCAACCAATAAAGGAAGTTATTCAATCAAAATTAACCTCTTTAACATCTCTGATTGTCTCAGTGCCAACCAGCGACCTGCCACTACAGCAACTTGGTATTTCCAGTTGGTGGCCATTGGAAGTTAAGGTCAATGCAAAACAGTTTCCATATCAACAGGCTTGACTGACCTGGTAGAGCTTTGCTAGGTGTACTGAGACAAACCCATTTAGACTATGCAAAGCACGTACACCACCACAGCCTCTCGCTGCGCCCAGTATTATTCCCGTCTATGTATTTGCCTGCCCCTACTTCAAAGAACTAGCAGAATGTGTATTTGTGTATTCACCTGCTACATGTGTTTTCAAATTGGGAGTGGTGTAAGGGTAGCTGGGGTAAGTACTGAGATAAGAGGGTTTCTCTGTCCTTGTTTTTCATGCGGTATTTCACGAAGCATGCTGGGAGGTATACTATATTGATTGTTTGAAGCATGAAAGCATGACATAGAAAGAAAATGCGCTCCCTTCCTCGATCTAAGTTGACAGCTTTATTGTCCTTGGCAACTCGGCTAAACTTTTTGTCTCAGAACAAGTAGAGGGGACCCCAAAGGAGGAGGGGGCTAGTGCTCCCCTGAAACAATGGGACTTTTTTGGTGTGCTTTCTTCATCATTAAAATACTGGCTTCAACTTTGATACAATTAAGCTAAAGTGAGAGTTCCTCTTGATGTGTTGTCCAAAGATACACTCTCAACCCTTTCCTCCTTCCTATCCTTCGGTGTGTTTTCCAATTCCTCAAAAGATTCCCGCTGTGATTCAGGTTTTCTTTTCAGAGGCAATGACATCTGCTGTGAGACTTAACCCATTTTTCTTCCATACTGTGTATTTTGAAACAGGATAGTGAAGGTTTTTCATGTCCTGCGCTGCACTTCATAAGGCTCAGACCTGAGGAATGCAGCTCAGATCATTAAGGTCGCAGTGCTGCGCAACAAGCGGGCATCCAGCTCTCTCCATCACATGACATGTCAGTCGCTCTCCCCGAGAGGCCGTTGTCATTGGCAACCGCTGACAATGGGGCTGTGCAAGGGTCTCCCCCTAATACCATTCATGTGTGCCGCTGATGCTGTTGTCTGACGCTCAGACAGCAGCTGCCCTCCGCGGCCCCCCAAGGATGTTTTTGTCCTCTGGGTTGTTTTTTTACTATGAATAGAAACTTTAAATTCAAACCTTGGTTGCAAAGGTTTTTACATTTTTTGTAACAAATGCATCGTAATTTGAAAGCCACTTAAATCAAAAAACACTCCTCCTTACAGAAACAACATACATCTACCAGTAGCATGTTTTTATTTAGTATATCATGGTTTTTATGCATTGCTTTGATTGTTTATGTGCCAACATGTACAGAGAGTGGGTGCTAACTCAAGACCAACCCAAGTGTTTTAGATTTTTGTTGGTACGAAATGTTGTGCTTAAAGCTTTGTGTTCCTCTGTCAATGGATAGGAGGGCCTTTTGTGTATGAAAAAATGGTCTATAACCACATTTTGATTGATTGATATTACATTTACTGAGATTTTTTCTTTATGTCTCAACAGGAGATTGTTTTGGTAGAGGGAAGCCGTGTGTTTGAGTCATGGAAATCCCCTCCCCCACCTGTCTACATGGAGTACTTTTTCTTCAATATGACCAATGTGAACGAGTTCCTCGTAAGTGGGGCCAAGCCAGTGGTCAAGCAGATTGGACCCTACACATACAGGTAGGATGCAAGAGCACATCAATGCACACAGAAATGCTGCCAGAAAGAAACCGATGTGTCAATAAATCTTCCTTAATCTGACATTATTGTCAAATATTTGATGTCCTTGAATGTGTGTAGGAGGTGTTCTCTGTTTGCAGACTTGTACATAGGTCCACCACCAGATATGAACTTACTCTGTGTTGACTGAACAGCAACAAAAAAAGCCTTAAAGAAAAAAAACATTAAATTGGTAGTTTGTTAAATTTGTTTTAAGCGTGATACCAAACGTATAAAATCTATATAAACCAGACTGTGTTGCAGTTTATATTTATTGAGTTTTGGGGTTCATGTGTCTATTTGAAATGTAGACTGCCCCAGGCAAACTACAGTCCAAAGAATAAGGTTTTGCAAAGTAGAAAATTAGACCTCTTCTTGAATTTCTGTTGAAATGTATCTGCTGCTTCTCTGCTTCCTCTATTAAGTTGTATTTAATTTGCTTCTGCAAACAGATTTTGAATAAAGGAAGTGTGACAGGAACAACTCTTGAAATATAATGATAATACAATATATATTTATCTTTTTTATTGTGTTTGCCCAGGGAGTACAGGTCTAAGGACAACGTCAGCATGGTGGAAAATGGTGAGAAGGTGTCCGCATACAACACCAAGACCTTTGTGTTCTTGAGGGAGAAGTCTGTGGGCGACCCAACTGTGGATAACATCACCACTGTCAACATCCCTGCTTGGGTGAGCCATGAACTAAAGGTCTTACACAAATAGAGAAAAGTGGAAATTAAAGTAGAGGAAAGTTTAAAACCAAGTGGGTGAAAGTGGAGTGCTTGTGGGTTTATTCTGCACGTTTCGTGTTCCCTCAATGCTAACCACCTCATCCTGCTTTCCAACTCTTCTCAACTCTACCTCACTATCACTTCCCTTCTCTAGGCTGTGATGAACGAGTTGAAAGGGAGTTTCTGGAAAGCATCGGTGGCGTCCGTCATGATGAACTCTGTGGGGAGTGATCTGTTCACCACTCGCACTGTAGATGAATTGCTGTGGGGTTATGAGGATCCCTTGCTGACCGGCATCGCTTCCCTCAAAACTGTGGAGAAGGTCTTTGGCCTCATGTACAAGGCGCGTACAGCTCTTCAAATATCTATTCGTTCGTTCGTTTTGGATTTTGTAATCTAGTGTGTAGTTTACAGAGCAAGTCTTTTCCATAGTAACACATTTGAGTGTTTTCTTTCAATCAATGTAATAACTTAAATCTTTTGGTCTATTTAGAAAAATGGAACTAACAACGGGGAATTTGTATACCACACTGGGGAGCAGAACTACATGGATTATGGCCACGTTGAAACATGGAAAGGCCAAAGGTAACCCTGTTGCAGTCTCACACAAAGACACACCCCATCTCTGTCTTCATACACTGTAATGGAACTTCAGTGGGTAACCTTTGGATTCAAACAGTTTCTCAAATGTACTGCATATTTGCCAATAATAAGGATGTCTGTTTGCCTGTTGGTCTGGGCTGCTGCCCACAGTTCAGAGCACAGGACAAAACATCCTGTAACTCTGAATGTATTAATGGCTTTTTGTTGACCTTTTTTAACCTATTGCATTGCCTGAGTACGTACTGTAGTCTTTAATTAAGCGCCTTGGAAACCACTCTTATCAAAACACTTAATGAAATTTGGCATTGTTAAGATTAAACTGATAATACTGTTGACATGAAACATACCCAGCACGTAGCATTAATTATTACATTCACTTATTGGTCAACGAGAGGGATCTAGATGAAAATTGTACTAGACTAATGTTTCTGACAATATTTTGATTTGCAGACAGCTGGACTTCTGGACGTCTAACCAAAGCAACAGCATCAATGGATCCGATGGAAGTGCTTTCCACCCCTTTCTGGATAAAAATGAACGCATTTACATCTTCTCTCCAGACCTCTGCAGGTACAGTTTAGCAACACAGAGCCTTTTCTTTGTTCTACTGCTTTCATGTGGCATCATTTTGAGATATATAAATCACTTTTGCTTTAATATTTTGTCTTGACGAGTGAGTGTAAATAAATATTACATAAATAGTTATGTTAATCTGTTTTGTGCTGTGCTAGCACATGCCTCTATGTTTGGCAATGTCTGTCTGTACTACTTATTGCTTTGGTCAGAACTGAAATAGCTAACACAAGGAATCATTTTCAGTAGTACAGATTCACATGGTGTCCATTGCATGATTTCATATCAGGCTGGGAACCACTGCTCTAGTGCCACCAGCATTTCAAACTTTGTTCGTTTTATCCAGCACTTTGTTTATGACAACATTTCTCAACCATCTGATAAACCTCTATAAAGAAGCATAGTGGCAGATTCAGTACAGCATCACAGATCCACACTAGCATGGCTATAGTCAGTAATTGCCAAAATCCTCTTCAAGACACTGGTACTAACCTACAGTGCTGTGAATGGGTCCAGGACATGGTTAAACACGACACTCCAGCACGTACACTGCGCTTTGCATCGGTCAATCGGCTCGCTACTCCCTAAATGCAAGTGGTGACCAGGGTACCTCTCTACAAAAACACACTTGTTTGCTATCCTAGCTCCAACAAAGCCATTTGTATCCCTATTGATATCAGGACTGCAGAAAGTCTAGACATCTTTTGTGCAGACTGAAGACCCAGACTGCACCATTGCCATTTAAAAAAAAAAAAATAGTATTGTATTTAAAAGGTTTAGCCCATTGGAAGCTAATGCACCAATAGCTTTGGCCTACTTGAAGCACTGCATGTTGTTGTTCTGTTCTGAGTTTGAATCTTCAGGGTTTATTGCACTTGTTGTAAGTTGCTTTGGATAAAACAGAAGCTAAATGAAACGTGATGCCTTTATGAGCGCAGCATTCAACGGACTCAAGAACAAAAATAGGCTTTTATTAGTTTTAATGTATCAGTCAAGTCATCTGACTGCAACAGGAATTTGCTTGGTCCCATTTGACCTACTGTTACCTAGTGTCCCACATATGATTGTTGTTTCTTCGAATGGAGGGGTGATGTCTATTTCTGCTACATGACCTGGCCTGAACATGTTGCACACAGCTCACATCACAGCAGGACACAGGCTTTAGTATCTTGTATGGACATAAAGTTCACAGGCCTTGGATCCCATAATTATAATAACATCCTGATCACTTACAAACAGCACAACAGGTGACGTCTGTTTTCTCAACAATGCTTTACTGCCTATACTGTGAATCCTTTTGTAATACTAACATGGTAGTTGCCAGGAAGCCCTTCATGGAAAGGCTTCATGAAGAGGAAAGTTAGTCGGGAGTGTAATGGGAATGAAAGATGATTGAGTGACGAAGGGTAAGGAAATTTGTGGGAGTGAGACTGACAAACGAGAGAAAGATCATTGTTTCAGTTCTTTACCAGCTGGAACGATAATTAATTGTGCATTGTGTTGTGTTATATTGGAAATGTTAGCCAGACATGTTCACTACTTATGCTCGTAATGGCTTTCAGATTTCCGGAGGACTTTAGCCTAGATGTTTTTGAAAGTTTAAAGAATGTTAAAAAATGTCCTCTTACACAGTCAAATACTAATGAGTAGATTATTGTATTTATTTAACAACTGCTACGCCTTAAGGCTGGCTTTTTGATGACTGCCTTGCCCTTGCTAATAACTAAAGCTTCTAATTTAGAAAACGGCTATGACGTAAGCAAAATGTTTCTGCAGACGTCCCCCCCCCCCCTCCCCTTTGAGTTGAGTATGGAAAGAATCTGTTCTAGCGGCATGGTTGTGCCTTTGACTCCTATTGGATGCGTGTCAAAAACCCCTGTCCTAAATGTTTACTCTTTCACCTACTTATTCATTGCCTGGTGGCTTCATCATGGCTGTCTGTGCTATTGTGACTCATGGGAAGGCTCCCACCCTGTTTCCTGTACCTTTTAACCTTGATTATAAGAGGAAATGTTCAATTAAGTCACATGTGTTAACCTTTCACACAGAGAGCTTGGCTTAAGTGTTTTCATCCTGAAGCTCGCCACTTAGTCTTAAACTTATGTTTGGTAAAAAACATCTGCCACTGATCTGAAGAATAAAAAATGAGCTTGAATTCCCATCTGTCTTGACCTCTGGTCCTGTAACTGACAGCTTAGCCACATAAACGTCAACATTTTGATGAAGTGTACACAGGTGTCATTGTTCAAATACCACCTTGCATTTTGCTAAACGTACATTTTTCCTCCAGTTATGATCTTTCATTTTAAAGACATGATTTGATTTAAAAAGATTCTGTCATTAAAAGGTATCCACAAAACAAAACAAATTAAAAACAAAGTTTCTACGTTTAGGTTTTAAAAACTTAAAAGTAGAACTCAGACACCAACCAAGGTCAGAACTCCCACCCAGTGTTGTGGTGAAACAGCGCCTCCACTGGTAGATAGGTCATATTTGAGGTTTAAAGCAGTACTGCAGCTGGGAGATGGCAAAGGCTTCCAAAACTAAATAAATAAAATCGTACTAAACTGAGAAGAAGTTATTTGAGAAATCAATGAGGCAAAATGTGCTAAAATCCGAACAACCCCACATTAACGCTATAAAGCTCTGTTTTGTCTTGAAGTGGTAATTGTGAAGAGCATGTCTCTCGCCGGACTGCTTTTCTTTACTTTCCATTTCATGTTAGTGACAAACTCGGTGATACGAGGTACGATTATTATTCGTATCAGATCCAACAAATAAGAAACAAACTGTGCTGAAAAAATAAGCTTGGAGGTAACTAATATAACCTAACTTTTAACTTATTATAAAGTCAGCACATGAAGATTGAATTATTGTATAACTAATTATACAAGTTATTTTAAAATAAGTTTATTCCCCCATCTTTCCTCCACTCTTTTTACCATTGATATGCCTGTAGTACAATCTCACGTAATCAGAACAAATGTTGGCCCCCACATATTTAGGGAATTTCAATACAAAATAACCATATTTTAGCTTATCTGACATTATTCTTGCTGTAAAGGTTTCTCATGCCCAGCAGTACAAGGCTCAGGCTTTCACCGTCCTGTTCTGTGAAATGCATACAGCTTTTTACTTAGCTTCTCTCCCAAAGGTCAAGGGAAAGGGCTAGTGTTGTTGCACTCTTGGTGGTCTGAGTAGTGAAGAGCAGTTGGCAGACGCTGTATGACCTCCTTTGTTCTCACTGAGAATGATCAGAATTCCCTAGGAAAAAACCGAGCTGCAGATACACAGAACAATTATGTACTGTTCACTTAGAAGCTGTAAAAACACAAAAAAACTCAAATATGATTAGACATTTCCCCACTGCCGGGACAAGAGGTTGACACCACCACACTACATCATTATTTCATCCACATGTTAGGAGTGTACTTACAACAAGATTTTATTTTCATTAAACTTTTAAATTTTTTTAAAGAATAATTGAGTTTCAGGTCGTGTTTGCATGTGAACAGGTGTTTAAGGCAGATCAAATCAACCAAATTGAATCCTTGATCGCCCATGTGGAGCAGCACCTGCAGAATGTGTCTTGTTTATGTTTGATTAACTAATTCGGGAAAAACGAAAAATAATGACATTTAACGGAAGAGCGTCATTTTTCTATTTTACTTCAGACGTACACAGGCACCTTTTAGTGTGTAAAAAGGGAATAACAGGAATTAGCGATGATAAGAAAGCTGATTTTATTTCATCATGTCCGGCCATGTTGTCGCTTTGCTCTGCAGGTCGATCCACATGGAGTTTGAGAAAGATGTGGAGGTGAAAGGAATCCCGGCGTACCGCTTCACTCCACCACGCTCTGTTTTGGCCAGCAAAGAGGAGAACCCCGCCAACGAGGGTTTCTGCGTCACCCCAAAGGAGTGCCTGGGAACCGGCCTCCTTAAAGTCAGTCCCTGTCGGAAAGGTAAATGTCAGCTTATGCAGCATATTTTCTCACCCACGCTTTGCACTTTCCCATGCCTCTCCTTTCACATTTCGTTGTTCTGCGCCCACAATCCTATTCTCTCCTGTGTTATTAGTAGCTGTACATCCTACACAAAGACCCTGAGCTTGACCTGGGCCTTCCTAGTGAAAACAAACCTTAACTTTGAAAGCTAAGATCTTTATTTCTGTTGCCCTGTTCTTTCTGATCTCTCCCCAGCCCAGTTTTTTTTTTAAACTTATCTCAGATACTTCCTTTATTTTCCTTTTTCACTCACCAGTACTAATAAGCTTTTAAAGAGCCATGCCATGTGACACAGCTCTCCAGCCCTCTCCACACCTCTGCTGCCATCTGACCATGACTGGCCAAGTTGTTGAGGGCGGGTAAGCCCTGTCACCTGATTCTGGCCTTGAATATGAACAGGCTCTGCCCTAGTGCCTGTGTGCACTGACAAAAACTCTATTTTGTTTCTGAAATATCATTCATTTGATCTACACCAAATGCCAGTGTTTTGCTATAAATAATATCCCAGGTTTTTCCATTATTACTTTTAAATCATAATCAGTTACTTGTTTGAAATAGTTATTCTAACACAAGTGAACATCATGTCTTCTTTTTTGTGTCAAAGTTACATTATGTTGCAAGAAAGCAGATAGATTTGATGCAATATTGTTATCAAAGACAAACAGACATGATGTTGCTTGCTCAATTAATAGTTTTTGTAAGATGATATTCATAGTGTACGACATCAACCGTCAACATAAATATTAGGCACACAGCCCAATAAAACCAAGAATTTGTAGGTCATGGTACACATTTTTCATGATTCAAAGATTGAAAGGCTTTATTGTCATATGCAACAATAGCTTCAGAGTAGTTTGGGCAATGCTAATCTCCTAGGCTCATCCTGCAATGCAACACACAACAGGAAATAAGAAAAATACAATGAAAACATAAAAAAATAGACATAAAAATAGTGCAAAGCTTGTAAAGCCAGCAACAGAAATGTCATTCTACTCAGATAAGGGGGATTTATAAGAAAGTGCAGAGGTCAGATTTAGGGTCACCTCTTAAGGAATGAACACAGTGATTAAGTGTGGCACACGTAAGTATATCAACACAAATATGTGTGTGTGTGTGTGTTGCGCTTGAATGACCTTGTGGGTAGTCACGGGAACAGCCTCTCAGGTGACCGCGAGTGTCCAATGTTTTTGTGGAGTGTGTGTTGCCAAACACAGGGGCAGGAAAACGGTCACCTCTGCCCCACTTCATCACTCCCTGTGACTGCCTCACGCAGACAGCATGACTCCGTTCAACACATAAGCAAGAACGTCTCACTTGACTACGCATTTCCTTATCTGTGAAAGAGGTCATATTGTAGGAACGAGGTTTATCCTGTTTATATGAGGAAGGAAATTAGCTAGAGTAACAAGATTATTTATCTGGATATAATATACAGCCCTTAATTCGTTTTACAACCGGGGAGGTGATCCATTTGCGGACCTATTGTTTATTTTCTTTAGAAGATTGCCCCTAAGTAACTTGCTGCATGTCCTGAAATGAAAAGTCAGATTATATCTCCTCACTTTCTCTTGAGGACTCTTTCCAAATGTTGTGCTGTTCCCGATGTTCTGATAAGATCTTACATCAAACAACAGGATATCTGACATTAGATAAGAATGTTTTTACTATGTCGCTGCTTTGATAAATTGACTTTTATGTGGCACCATCCCAGTGTCGTAAACAGATGCATTATTTTTCAACAACAAAAGCACATTATAGAAACTACGTGCTTGAGGGCATTTTCCGGTCTGACCTTAGATGTCCTTACTGCAAACGTTAGCATTTATTTGAGATAAGACTGTTATTCTCCTTCAAGTAAAACCTTAGAAAACAGTGTTAGGTTATCCTATTGTTGCCCATTACGTGATGATATCTGTGTTGACAAAGAAAATACTTAATGATTGTGAATGGGCAACATAACGAGTTGAAGCTTATGGAGACATTTTGCATATAAAATATAAATAAAAATGTATTAAACTTGTATTGGAGATGAGAAAACGTTGTCACAAAAAATATAGCCCAACATTTGTCATAAAGGCGAACTGTTGTTGTTTTGTTGATTTAATCATTTTTCAGTAGAGAAATAGGCTTTACATCATCAGTTGTTGCTTTGCTCTGCTTAATATTGCCTACCTTTTTTTCCTCAACCCTCCCCTCTCCTCTCAAAGGCGCCCCAGTAGTCGCATCCTTTCCTCATTTTTACCTGGGAGAGGAGAAATACGTGGCTGCCATTGAAGGAATGTCTCCTAAAAGAGAGCATCACCAAACGTACCTAGACCTCAACCCGGTAAGCCACCAGGCCGCAGTTCAGCAGCTTCAAATGCACTTTTTAATTGCAGGTATAATTAGAACAGTAATGCTGTGGCTCATGTTCTTTCACAGTACACATCTCAATCCACTATGAAAATATGTATTAGCAAATCATTTGATCACTGCTACACCCCCTAGTGGCATATATATAGAAGTACAGAAGAAGATATTAAACATCAACATTGTCTTCCTAAGACAGTGTCATAGATTTCATTTTGTTGTCTGTTCTGGTTATATAATGCTTCACTTTACAATATTACTTATGGCAAAATGTACATGAGCAAAGGTTATTGCTAGAAATTATTATTACAGAAAATAGCAATAGGAATTGTATAATAATGTGGATGAAAGAGAACACGCCAACAAACGTTTAACAAAGTCATAGGTATTGTTGGCGTCAAACTGTGGAATTCTCTACAGAATGGTTTAGTGGGTTGTATATTAAAATAAAGTTTAAATAAATGTATAAAGAAAGAATCATATGACAACTTGGCTTACAGACCACTGGAGTGATTGTACGTGCAAACAAGAGGGCGCAGATTAACATCCTGCTTAACAGAATGCCTGGATTCCCGTGAGTATCTTCATTTAAACATGGCTATTCTATGTTGAACCAGTGTCTGATTGTCTGCACTGTACATGATTGCTTTTACACTCTTTTTATTGTGTTCACAACAGAAAAACTAGAAACCTGAATGAGATAATATTCCCCGTCATGTTCATCAATGAGGTAAGAAACTGTAAAGACATGCGCACACTAGATTTGAACACATGAGTTAATCAGTTCATCATCTTGAAGTTCTTGCAGCATTATACATTCTTTTTTTGGAGGGCAAAGACATAAAACACAATTTAAATCAATCAATTAAAGAATAAACACATTGAATTTGCAAGATGCTAAACCAGTCACTAATCACATCTTAGTTTCCTCTACATAATATATGTTTGCTTTGTCTTTAATTCGCAGACTGTGGTGATTGATGATGCGTCTGCGGCCCGAGTACACAAGCTGCTGCTGATCGTCACTCTGGTGTCCAACTTCCCGCTCCTCATCGTGGGACTGGGGGCCATCATGCTCGCAATCTTCATCATCCTCCTGTACAGAGCCCACAAACAGAAGGTATGACAACACCTCTGACCTGATTTCATTCTAACAAGCTTAACACTTACTTGCTGTGTGCCAAAAAGTAATTTGTGTTAATTGTTGTGTAATTCAGTCAGTCTCTTAACCACTAATTGCACTGTGCATGTGTTCATGTGTCCCCGTGCAGAATGAAGTAAAGCGCACTGTGTTTACCAAGCCGCTCTATGCTGTAAGTCTTTTTGGTTATTTTGCTGCTTTGTTGAGTCTTAATTGTCGATATGCATTTTTTATTCACTTTCTTTTCATATAGTAAGATCACTTACTATATAAAAATGTGTTGTGATGCTGTACAGTAAACCTAGTGTCTGGTTTTAACACAATAACATCACTTAGTAAAAATACATTTAAAAATGTGTGTGGTAATGTAAGATGAAACGTTCAAGTACAACAACCGTTTTTGATACAGGTATAGGTCTACAAAGTAGGATTAGATCACTTTTTAACACATTTGATCCTCAATCTCCCTCTTCAGACATCCAATGAAGAGGACACTTCTTACTCTGCAGTGAGTGATAAGGAAAAAGAGGACCCTCAAAATGGAACATATATCGGTTTGACGGCTAAAAGCGAACCACAAGAGTAAGAAGAGAGGGAAAGGTGGTTTTGTACATGGACAACCCTCAGAATCACAAATAGGGATTCAGTTTGCAGGAGAGAGAGAAAACTGTCAATATCTCCTCTATGATTGGAAATATGTAAAGGGTGTAGAGGAGGGGAACATGTTTTAGTCTCAACCATTCTGTACTATATGTACATAATTGTAATGTCCAGGCCACGGTATTTCCAGAAAAAGCTTGACATTCATACAAAAACACTGTGAGTCAGGAGCCAAATATTGCTGTTTGAATCAGTTTGCTGAAAGCTGCAGTTCTTATATAAGTAGAGTTAGAGAGAGCTTTTTGTGGTGGTCCTAAACAAAGAAAACACACCCCTTTATACCTCAAAGGTGGGATGAATTTAATTGTAATGACTGAACTTATTCTGTTTGCCTGGATCAGTGGTTCTCAACCTGGGTGTCGCAGGATCCTTTCTGGGTTTTAAGATGGTTGTGATAATTGTGACTTGAAAAGGTTGAGAAACACTGGCCTATATCAGATGTAGGTGACTGACAACTGTGTAATACGGCACACATGAGGATTTGGGACCAGGGTAATGAAGTCTGTAAACTGTGATTTTTTTCTTTTTGAATAGATATTAAACGCCACTCTCAGGGGGCCTCTGCTCAGATACTATCAAAAAATACTATCATAAAGAAGGGTAGAGAAGCAATACATCATCTCAATTTGATTAAATTCAGTGTAACTATTGTTAATTTGCATTTGATCCTAACTAGATGTTACAAAACATGTTCATGGCTCATTATTGTTTCCCAGTTATGCACTGAGGGGGATCTGTGAACATCATTAGCACCACACCTGAGAAACTCTCAGAGTATGTTCTTTTATATATACAGTGTAAGGTGTGTTGAACTGTTCACATTCCTCTCAGTGTATAATGGGGAATATCAGACAAAACACTGTATGTTTTGGATGTTTTAGCTTTTGTGAAATATGAAGTTCTCTTTTTGTAAATGTTAATGTAGAAATGTCTCAATGAAGTAAGAGCTTCACAGTTATCTTCTAGTGCCATAATGAGCAACACTTTTATCAGCCATTTAAAGCCCTGAATATGACATGTTTTTATTGTAAAAACAATGATTCATAATGTACTGAATGTGTGTGTTAACGTATCTATTGCCCTGTTTGACTGCTTACATTAACTCACCGCCATATCAAAATATGATTCAGCTTATTATTAGTTCAAAATGTGTTTTTTTTATGCTTTTGCTGAAGGCCTTAATAGCATTGTTGGTGCTCAATATAACACCCAACAACATTTTCTTTATAATGTTTGTGAAAGACTTCATGTCAGGGCAGGGTCTAGCTATCTACTAAACCCTCATGAAGGCTCAATATATGAAGGAACAATGCAGTTCTGCCTTTCAAGATTTGTAACTGAATTGATTTGGCCCTTTTATAGTTTTTACATATCAGAAGAACGCCATGTCACACCATCAAATCTCATGAAACTGAGAAATGTTGCATTTATTGTCTTGTTTTGCCGGCAGGGTCAAACTGCACTTAATCACTCACGGCTGGTCAACACATTGTATGTGCCATTAAATGCAGTATAGAAATACTGCAGAATTACTACATTTAAACTCTGTTGAGCCCAAACTTTTTCCCTGCTTTTATTTTTAGTGATATCATTTTAGGCATTAATGAGTTACTTCATACTGTCTCCTCTTACATGCACTGTAATAGAAAAGCAATACATATATCAGAGATTAGCAAAGAAGATGTAACAAGTTTAATTCAAGCTTTGATTTTTCTTTTTGTGGTGGTGTATATTTTAATCAGTTATGTACAATAAAAAACAATAAGGAAAATAAAATACTTTCTTTTGTCAAATGTACTATCAAACATGTATGAGAGGGGGGGAATAAATGGATGAAACTATATTTTTGCAAAAAGTACAGTATTACACAGTATTAGTGTTGTGGTGAATAAGATAAATGATTTTTGTTGCATTGGTAAACCAAACCAAAACCTAGAAAGCACCATATGGACTGTAAACTGGGCTACTTTTTGCCATGCTTTTATAACAGATTTTATTTTCTGTAATTATAGTTACTGCTATAACCACTAAGAATTCTAATTGTCAGGTTGTTTTGAAACGCTGACTGTTAATGCTGTTTTTACTGTGTACACAAAAATAAAAGCAGTTTCAGTAAAGGTGTCTTCTCTTTATTTAAGCCCTTTTGACTGTTTGATTGTCATCTCAGAGACGTTTGTAGCTAGAAATGTATTTACTCTTAATGTTTAAATACAAAAACAGATGTTTCCAGTGTTGTCATAGGCCCACATTGTTTTTCTTTACAAGTTTGAAGTGTTGGGTGTGTGTTGTTAGGTTCTGTTCTAGGATAAGGCTCTATTGTCTTGGTATGGAGTAAAGGTAATATCCTGCTGGTGTTTGTGAGCTGGCATAGTATAAATCACATAACAGGATACATCAAAAAAGGGAAAACACAGAAACACCACCCTTATTTTACTTTTGACAAATATATCAATCAAGAATATACCCCTACATGACCCACCATTGTAGCTTCTTTTACAGTATAACTGTGATAATGTTTTTTCATAAAAGATGTTCTCACAATTTTTATCTGAGTCACAAGACTAGCAAATCCAGGAGAAAATAAAATGTTTGTGATTGAGGGTACTGTACATGGAAGGGTCGATAAATTGACCAAGAGGGCTTTGGAGGTTTAATGTGACAATAAAGGTATAGGAGAGAGGGGAAAAGGAGGCAAACACATCAAATTCAAAAGAGTGTCAGAGTAGGTAGGTAAGTCATGGGTTCGAGATAGAGGGGAACAAGGTTATGGTTGGGGCACTGAAAATGATTACACCAGACATGCTTGAGTCAGTGATGCCTGCAATAGGAGTCAGTGGAGCACTTCGTTCTGTGTAATAGGGGCATAGGCATATAGGATGCAGAGAGAAATTATTAGGAATAGTCTGTAGGAATTGTGGATGCCTGAATTGACATTAATATGATTACTGAGCATGGGTGACAGGCCATGGTTAATACAATGTTTTAATATATATGATACGGTGCTAGGGTAGCTGATCTGGAAAAGGAGATTTATAATAGGAGTCGATTGAAAAACAAGCATGGAAAACAACATGTAGGTTTTGTTTTTTTTATGCGGTTTTGGATTGACCCCATCAATACGCCTAATCAGACGATGGCGCTAAAGCGCCTCTAAACCGGATGTCAACCGCCGCTAAAGAAGCAGAAGAAGAATTGCGAAGACGAAGAAGAAGACAACATGGCGTTCAGTTTTGGCGGCGCAGCGGCTAACCCTGCAGCAAGTAAGTTTAATAAACGTGGGAGTAGTTTAATAATGCTGGAAAGAAAGATGCTACTTACATAGTGTCTAAATAGTGTTATTTTGGTGTACATTCACGATCAATTACACTAATAAACGGTCAACTGACAGCGCAAGTTTCTGTCAACAGTCATGGGAGTTGCATATTTTACCGGCCGACAAATAAATAATGCGATATGCTTTCTCTATCTGAGACCTGCATATGGCTTTTTAAGCAGATTTGGGATAGTTTGACTCTTTCAAGTAGGCTTCAAGTAAACGGCTCTCTTGCTACCTAACCTTACTGCATGTGTCCCGTTATGATGTAGCTAGCCCTTAGCTAACGTTAGCTGTTTTGGCTAATGAACATTCCTCAAGTTTACTCATGTCAACGTTAAAATATGAGCCTCTAGTTTGTAGTGGTGTAAAGTAACTAAGTAAATGTAATCAAGTACTTTAAGTGCATTTTTGAGAAACGTGTACTTCAGTGCTTCAATGTTTTGCTACGTTGTACTTCTACCCCACTACAATTCAGAGGTAAATAGTGTACTATTACTCCACTACGTTTATTTAATACCTTTTAGTTAACGTAGTTACCAGATTTGGATTAATGATGTGAAATGTAATCAACACAAAACAAAACTTTATTTACACCTGGAGTAAATTCACAAGCTGCAGTATACAAAGTGATGCAAATTAGCTGAAACTAGCTTTACCAGCTTTGATAACACATTAATGTATCAATAATTATAAACAAAACATATAATATATATTCTGAAATCAACCAATTTCCAGAAAAGGGTACTTTTGCATTTGGTACTTTAAAGTTAGGGTAGGTAAGAATGGAGAAACCAGCTCGAGTGAGCTATATGAGGTACACAACCGGAAAAAATCTGCCTCTTCCTTCAGACTTCCTTACAGAGCCCCTCCTCCAACACACACGAACGCGCACATGAGCAATGAGGGCACAAGATAAGTTTGTGCACAGATGGAAGGCTGACAGGCAGGTTGGCCATCCAGTTATTTTAGCCTACCCCACCTTTAAGTATATCTTCATGCCAACACTTTTGTAACATTTTGAATGCAGGACTTTTACTTGTAACAGAGTATTCCTACACTCTAGTATTTCTACTTTTACTTAAGTACAATATCTGAGCACTTCTCCCACCTCTGCTAGCTATTGAAATCCGTTGTAGCTGTACGCTAATGTAACTGTCACGACACTCAACACTCATAGCACTCTCTATGTTCATGTGAAGGCACGTCCGGGTTTTCATTTGGTGCCAAAACTACAGCATCAACAGCAACATTTGGCTTTGGCTCAGCAGCCGCCGCCTCATCCGGATTCGGCAGTAAGTCCATAGATCCGATCGTCACTAAAGAGGGTACCTCTCCTCATCTGAGCCCCAATAATCAAAGCTACTCGGCTGTGTTGTTGGGCAGTTGTATTGAAGAGATTGACTAGGTCTGTCTCATCCAGATTCGTAGGAACAGCAACTTATACACCCACCTGCCACTTCATTAGGTACATTTAATGCGTATTCAATACAACAATGCTGCCTCTACATGCATAATAATGTTCAGTTTACTTTGACACTGTAGGAGAGGTATTACTTTAAAAACATTGTTATGATTGAGCTATTAGTTTGCAGTGGTGATAGACTTTTATTTATTACTAATATTTTGTCTATGGCATTTACATCTGAGGAGCAGAATAGTAGAATTACCTCAACATAATGTACTCCAGCATTACACAAATACCCACTAAGAACTCAATTATAAACATAGTTTGTATTGGATTTAATTACGTATTAGTATATATATAGTATTAGTGTTATCTTTTTAATAAGTAAAACCCCTTCCTTTACAAAGGGTTACAATATAAAGTTGTATTCTTCAAACATGAAAGTAAATAATAATTGAAAACAAATTATAACATATAATAAAAACAGTAACCAATGCAAATAACAAGCATATCAACATGGAAAATAAACATGGGTTATTTATAAGTTCACCATAATTAGGTAGATTTTCAGTCCAAAATACATAAGCAAATATTTAATTTCATCCAATTTATGTAGCTAAAAATGAAATGCAGTACATTTTCAACATTATTTAATTTAAATTCCCTTTTAGTCCTATTAGACTAGCTCAGGGTCTATGTGCAGATTAGTCTATATGAGTAAGATATGATCCTTTATTTATCAATATTCCCAAATTGTCTCCATTTGTGGTTTCCATCTTTCTATAAAAAATCACTCCGTAATCTTGGCATATGTCGTTTAGCAACGTGTGGATTTGGAATCATTATGATCAAACAACATCGATATGAAAACATAGAGAAAATGATTTGTTCTTGTGATAACTATTGGTAGTTATCACACAGCCCTGGTTATATCCAAATCTAATTGTCTGCCAGTTTAACTCACTGCTGTTCTTGTGTCTGCTTTTTTCTTTTAGCTCTTACAGCTCCTGGTTTTGGGGCAGCCCCCACCGCTGCTGCTGCACCAGCCACAGGATTCAGTTTTGGCTCCACCAACACTGGTAAGATACAGGTGTTATAAACAAAGCAATGTTTTTTTTTTTTTAGACCTGTCTCTTTTTAAGGTACCTGAAGACTGTGTTCACAATATATTTAGTCCCATACGAGGCCTGACCTTTTTTCCTTTTAACTCCTTCATGTCATTCTCTCTTTCTCGCTGCCTGCCTCCGCTGGCTGCAGGATTTGGGGGGCTGGGAGCTGGAAACACCACGGCTGGTGGGTTTAGTTTTGGGGGGTTTGGTTTAAATGCCAACCCAGCAGCAGTCAGCGTTAATGTGGGGTGCTTTGGTACAGCAACCACCACTGGCACTGTTTTCAATTTTGGTAATAGCCTGGCTAGCACAGGTAGATGACCTTTGTGATTAATTAATCAGTACAGTCTGTCTGTAAACACATTTTCATCCATTTTCACATCTGTGTGGTGCAGTGATTTCTCATCTCACTTGTGGCTTTGTCTCATAAAGTGTCATGCATCGTAGTTTCCATTTGCATGAGGAGACAAAATGTTGTATCATGCACTCACCTTTTGATTTATAATCTAGTACATTTTCACCTTCTCTGTAAAAAAAGATAAGCAATGCTAAAAAAAAAATCAGTGTCCCTTTCTGTTAATCTTCAAAGCTCTGTCATGATTTTAAGCTCCCTATATGGAGGAGACAGTCAGCTATTTAATTCTTTTTTATTTACTCCATTATCTATCTTTCAACCCTTTTTGTATCACCTCCTCCATCTCACTTGGCATGATTTGCTTAACTTTTCAGGTACGTTTGGTGGCTTTGGGGCAGCTGCAACAACTGCACCTGCACCAGGATCCACTTTTAGCTTTAGTACTCCTGCCAACACCACAGGTCAGCAGTGTAACTCTTATTGCTTTTCTTTGTGCATGTTTATGTCAAGGAAATACAACTTGCGTGCATACAGCGTTTAAAAAAAACAAATTTCCAGTAACAAAAAACGTAGGATATTTTTTCTCACTGTTGATACTTTGTTCTGTTTTAGGAGGCCTGTTTGGTAACACACAGAACAAAGGTTTTGGGTTCTCCTCTGGGCTTGGTACCGCGGCTCCTGCTGGGGCAACAGGATTTGGAACTGGATTAGGAACAACAACCATGGGAGGGTTTGGAGGTTTTAATATCCAGCCCACTCAGCAGCAGACAGGTAAGACCTGGATCTCAAGGACAGCCGTTGTCAATACAGAAAATTCAAGCTTATATCTGAAATTGCTTCTCAGTTAGTTAATTATCAGTTTCTTAGGCAGTATTATCATGAAAATGAAATTTAAAAGCACATTTAATAGTCAGCTCGTCACTGACATTGAAGTACGTTTGAGCAGCAAAAGAAACAGGGAATTTAAACCATGTCTGTTTTTCTCGTTTCAAAATCCAGCCAGCTATAATTCTTTTCTCAGCAGGGTCACACACAAACTTCCATTACAACTCTACAAACGGTTTACCTCTTATCCCTGCAGAGGGCGACAACAATCACATGTTTACAGAAATCAGCATTATTATCGTCATCAATACAAATGTGCAGTTGAAGCAAACATAAAATACTGTTTATTAAGTTGTGACATGTTTGGGGACTTTTGTAGTATTACCCTGTTAATATAAGACCATAAAGATGTTTCAGGAAATGTAACGGACTACACAATCTGAGGTGATATTTGACCTCACCTGCCCCCTACCAGGAGGCTTGTTCGGTCAGCCGGCCCAGCAGCAGCAGGCTCAGGCTCAGCCCTCCCAGCTGTACCAGCAGGTCACTGCTCTGTCAGCCCCCACCTTGTTAGGAGACGAACGTGACTCCATCTTAGCCAAATGGAACCAGTTGCAGGCTTACTGGGGCACTGGGAAGGGCTACTACAGCAACAACAACCAACCTGTCGACTTCACGCAGGAGAACCCATTCTGCAGGTTCAAGGTAATGAACGATAGTTTATAAAAGTGTTTTGAAGTGTACTTTAGGTTCTTTTGAACTTCATCAAATGGTATTTCTGTGATTTGTTTCCTAGGCGGTGGGCTATAGCTGTGTCCCAGTGAGTAAGGATGAGGATGGTTTAGTGGCCTTACTTCTCAATAAAAAGGAAGCTGATGTGCGAGCGCAGCAGCAGCAGCTGGTGGAGACTCTTCACAAAGTCCTGGGAAGCAACCAGTCTCTCACTGTCAATGTGGATGGTGTCAAAGCCCTGCCCAATGACCAGTAAGTAACTATAATATGTCATTCAGTACTATTACACACTTGGAAGACAAGGAAATGCAATTGTATTTATGTTCAACATTTCAACAACAAAGCAATTTAAAGTGCTTACAAATAAGCAACACTTTAGCAAACAAACACGTCTTCTGCCTTGATTTAAAGAATTGAGAGTTGCAGCAGACATGAAGTTTTCTGGTATCTTATTCCCAATAGGTGGAGCGTAAAAAATAACGCTGATTGTACATGTTTAGTTTTGACTCTGGGAACAGAAAGCAGACCCGTCCCTGACAACCCGATAGGTCTGGATGGTTCATAATGTAGCAAAGGATCAGAAATGTATTTTGGTCCTAAATCAAAACAAGAGTTTTAGGTGTAATAAATTGTAATAGTTAAGAAATTCTAAAAAATGTAATTAAATGTTTGTGTGTTCTTTGCCCTAGGACTGAGGTGATCATTTACGTGGTGGAGCGTTCTCCTAATGGCACCTCCAAGCGGATCCCTGCCACCACACTCTTCAGTTATCTGGAGCAGGGCAACATCAAGGCCCAGCTCGCATCGATCGGAGTGGCCATGTCGGGGACGCGCACAGAGCTGTCTCCAGCTCAGCTCAAACAGCTGCTGCAGAATGCACCTGCAGGTAAATGCATAGTTGTGTCATCATCTTGATGATTTTAATTAGTTTGTTGGTGATTAGAAGTTATTTACTTCTGAGGATGTTGTTTCCTCTCACTAGGAGTGGACCCCATCATTTGGGAGCAGGCTAAGGTGGACAACCCTGAGCCAGACAAGTAAGTAAACAAAGGGGGTTTATGAACAATGTGATGACGGGGAGTAGATCCTCAAGATTCTCTAGTTACTGCATTTTAATTTCAACCAACATACTGTACATACTGTACCAACTGCTTAAATGCTAGCTAAATCAGAGCTAAGATTGTATATCATTCTCTCAAGCCCCATTCCAAGTTGAGCATGACATAAAGCAGGCAAGTTTTTTGCACCATTGGTATTGATAATAGTCTTGCACACCTGACCTTTTATTGTATACTGCAGTTTTTAGTGCATATGGAGACAGACAATCTTTTTTCTCCTGCTCTTAATCAATTCTCCTCTTAACTCCCTGCACCACCTATGCAATAAATTGCTACTCGTTTACGCGTTTATCCTAATTGGATGCACGTTTTCATTTAAGGCGAGACACGGCAGGCAAAAACATCGTTTTTCATGCACTGGTCAATTTTGAGATTTTGTGCTATTTTGATTCCATAACATGTTTACTTTCAGGCTTTTGGAAGGAAAACGTACAAAATACACATTTTAGTGTTTATTTTACTATAGTTTGTCTATTTGCGTCTTAATTTCTCCTAAATTCATCTAAAGTTAGCTTTCTAACGTAACATAAACTACCGTGACCGCTGTTTGCACCATGTCATCAGAGGTATCGTTGGAAAGCTCCGTCTCTCCTGCACAATCTCATCGGATCCAAATATGGTCATTTCCTTTATCAGCAACCAATCGTGAAAGTACAAAAGGGTCTTAAATCAAGAAACGTAATCTCATTGGCTGGTGTCAATTTCTGACAACGTGATTCGTTCAGATGCGTCACGTGGTGTGCTAAAACACTTCCTGGTTAGCTTTCCGCTGGAAATTTAAATCTCAAAATGGCAAAAGAACGGCAAAAAAAACGTTCACAGAGAAGACGACAACAATTGTCACTTGCAATAAGCAAGGTTATACAAAAAACAAATGACCCCGGACATGAAATACCTTCACGGAGTGCGTCGAGGCGCAAGCTGTCATCCAAAGAACAGGAGGGTTTAGCTAGCGCCACACTGCAATCTTTAAAGGTCGTTTTCTCAAAATGAGTTTTTTCTCCTACTCTGAGTCCGAAATCTCCACTTCAGTAGCACGTACATACACCAAACCTCCCAGTTATATTCCTATCAATATTATGAAGGCTTTTACAGAAGGGTTTGTTCATATATCATTCATAGCCTGAATTATATAACATTTTATACCTAACAACATGGCGAAAATTGATATTTTAGGGCTGTTGACAGTATTTTCTGATTTATGGAGTGATAAAAAGAGATATCCAAAATCCCTTCTGTAAAAGCCTTAGATACTAATATGACTACAAAATGAAACAAGAATTTTGAACCTGGCTTTATCCAAAGTTCAGATTTCAGTTCCTGAAATGTGTTAAAATATGCGCATATTTAATGAGATAATGGTTCATTTGCATATTTAAACATGCTAATTCAGAAAACCTGTAATAAAAAAACAATTGCCTTATTGTAAGTAATTAACTGGAGAAATTTCTAGCTGATATCATTACGTTAAAAAAATGACCCTATTCACCTGGGGTGTCTCGTCTTAAAAGAAGCTTCACACAACCAAATCAGTGCTTCATATTTTATGAGGTTAGTGTTATACATTTGTTCAGATTTGGGTGTTTGCAGACGCTGCCTAGACTTCCTATATATATTGAATTAAAGTTTTGTGTAACAGCCCTTTTTTCTCAAGAGATTTAAAAGTGTTTCCACATGTCACTCAATATTTCAACAAAATAATTATAGATGGCTCTGACATGCTTGAACATTGTCCATTATGCACCGCTTTTCTGCCTGTTGATTTTCTGCGATTAAAAAAAATGACATTAAGTAACATTATGTAGAAATGCATGTTTTCATTTCATTTAATAAAAAAAAAATGTGTCCAGACTAATACCAGTGCCCATGGTGGGTTTCAAGGAGCTCCTTCGCAGGCTGCAGTTCCAGGAGCAGATGACCAAACAGCACCAGACCAGAGTGGATGTAAGTGAAAACACATGTTTTAGCTCTCCAAATGTCAAAGAAAGACTCGCTGGACATGGGCACAGTGCCTTCTGATAATCAACAAAGGTATTTTGAACCAGAGTTTGTGGTGTCAAGGACAGAGTACACAGATGTCCAATAAAGGCTGCCAACAGTTTGTTTATAGCCAAAATAAATATTATAAATACAGCCACAAGTGTTTACTTTTATGTGTATCAATGCAAAGCTCTTTTTGTGTCTTATTTCCCTATTTTAGAGAACTTCGGGCTCCATTTCTTGCATGAAAGGTTCTTTATAAACAAGCTTCATTAATATTATAGTGGCAAAGGGAACTCGCCACTCACTATTTGTTGAGGGAAACTGTGTAGGACTGAGTTGAAAAACTGAACATAGTTTGTTGAGCTAAATTGTTTTCTATTAAAAAATGTATCGGTAGAGAAATGTCAAAAATGTTAATTTACCTCCCTTCCTTTTTCTCACACATACTCTCCACAAAAACACCCACACATGGACTACAGATTATTTCCGGTGACATTAGTGAACTGCAGAAGAACCAGGCGACAACAGTGGCCAAGATTGCGCAGTACAAGAGGAAGCTGATGGATCTCTCTCACAGGGTGCTGCAGGTAGCTGCTCTCTTTGTTCAGCCACATTTTGTTTGTTATTGACAAGGTCTGTGATAAAAGACATCTCCCAATCGTCCAATATTTTCTTTGATATTTATCACTCCTCCCTCCCATCCCTGTTTTCCTGCCAGGTGCTGATCAAACAGGAGATCCAGAGAAAAAGTGGCTATGCTATCCAAGTGGACGAGGAGCATCTCAGAGTTCAACTGGATACCATTCAGTCTGAGCTGAATGCGCCCACGCAGTTCAAGGTAAGGGTGCCTAAACCAGTGGTGGTTCTAGACCAATTTGACTAGGGGGCCAGGCTGGGGTCAGTTATTTCACGAGGGGCACAATAAAAGCGGGTTACAAAGACAGTATAAAGTTATTGTGTAAAATAAACATAAAATAGTTATTTGTTTTTGTAAAGGTATTTGTTTTAGTACATTTAAGTTACAGTCCTTTGTTTCAGTAGTGTTTTTCATTTAGAATATTTGTTTTAGTAACTTTTATGACAATTTAATAAAAAAACATAAACAGTATTTGCTTTTATATAAGGTAATGAACAGTTTAATCTCCACTGTACATCCGGGTCTCTGATTTGATTTAGTTCTAATAAATTGTAATATTGTAACCTTTTTTGTGGAGGGGGGCCACAGGGGGGTCCCTGGTCAGTGTTACGGGGGCAATGGCCCCTGTTGCCCCCGCCCCCCTAGAACCGCCCCTGGCCTAAACCGAACAAGTTATACATGCATGCTGACAGTGGACATTTTTCCATTCATCGAGCTCTTATTAGAATGTAAATCAGGAGGAAAAGGGTTTACTCATTTGAAAATGATATATTACCAAAACAAATTGGTTTTCAACAATTAATTCAATATCCTGTAAGAACAGTTGGTAGATAACTTATAAGTTATTCAGGAAAGAAAACCGGTTTTATTGGTATTTTAGTATTATTTTTGCTAACCCTATCTGGTTACATTGCAATTATTTATTTTTATTTATTATTTAAGGTGTCCTGTGAAGGTTTCAACGAACTAAAGTGTTTAAATTCAATGTTGCCCCCCAAAATGCAGGTTTTTTTTGTTTTAAGTTTGAAACCTGCATTGTTAACATCCATGTTTGCGAGCAAGCATTATTACTCTCTACTGCCTTTGCCAACGCATAATGTGACACCATTAGCGGTCATGAGTTGTTGGCCATCCTTGAGATAAACAACACATGTTGTCTTTTAAGCTTCATTTCCATCAAGTTGTATTTTTGGCTTGTCAATCCAACGCTTGGGACAAAGTCTTTGGTGGATATTTTACAGTATTTGTGTTGTTTTCTCTTCCAGGGTCGGTTGAATGAATTAATGTCTCAGATCAGGATGCAGAATCACTTTGGAGCTGTGAGATCAGAAGAGCGATACAGTGTTGATGCAGACCTCCTCAGGGAAATCAAACAAGTGAGTTGGCAGTTTACAAAATGCATCTTGTTTTAACGTCTTTGCCCTGTAACTGTGGAATCCAGACCTCTGAAAGCACAGTTCCCAAGTAAAGCAAAAGTGTTTTCTTTTCCTGTTGGGCATAAACGGTAACATTTCGTTCTTGTCTGTCCCTCTCAGCACTTAAAGCAGCAGCAGGACGGGTTGAGTCATTTGATCAGTGTCATCAAAGATGACTTGGAGGACATTAAACTCATAGAGCACGGGCTGAGTGACAGTGGACACATGAGAGGAAGCATCCTGAGCTGAGTCTATCCTGCCAACACACTCATACACATGCTCTGACTCAAAATAAATCCTATAAAAAGCTGTCCTGCCTTTCACCAAGACGAGTCATATTATCCTTTTTATCATGGGAGCAACAAGGTCATGACAGAGGATCTGAATTTGGAGTAGATACTCTCTTGATCAGCATTTTATCAGGCCCTACTATCTGTACAAAACAAGGAAGGTTTATACCGAACTGATAAAGAGTGGAAAGACTCATCGTCGAACAACATCTGGCCTACCTAATGTTTAATCAGATTATGTTTATGAGACTATGTTTGAGCCTGCCCTGTGAACAAATCTTGGGATTGAGTGTGTTGTGTTTGAATACATTGTAAATACAACTTTGTATTTCTTTTTTTATGCTGTTAGAATGTAATAAATGTCAGTTAAATTGTCAACAAGTTCTTCACTACATCCCTTTCCTTGCAAACTTAATATAAAGGTAGGGCTGTACCGAACGTCACTTTTGTATCACACAAAAAAAAACATTTTCTGTTAAGGTTTTTTTAAATGAAGCATTGATGGCCTTGCATAAGGTTTTGTGACGTTATAACCCTTAAAATATTCATAGAATTGAATGAGTTAATCTTTTCAATAAATCAACTTTCTTTTAATGAAGATCTTGAGGGTAACCTTTGTGTATGACAAGCTGGAGAGCAAGACCGAATATTTGGGGGAATATTAGTTGATGAATAATTAATTTACTAGATGTTTTTGATTTTTGGAAATTATAATATTCTATATTCAATATATTTTGAGGTTGTTTCTTTTAAGGTTGGGATCACAAGATTAAGCAGACACCAGTGAAATCTTATTCTACAAATTATAATTTCGAATAATATTAATGTAGCCTAATCTTTATCTCTTAACTGTGCAGCAATTTAAGGGTTTAAACTAAATAATGCTCCAAAGTTGTGTTTTAGAATTTAAACGTCATTATGAATGAGGCTTCAAACTATTCGGTAAAACCCTAAAAGGTAACTTAATTTTTGTAGTAATCGCTCTGTGTCTGACAAATATAGTAACGTTGTTTGGCTTCTCATAAGGGACATGTCTCATCACCTGTGTTTACTTGCAGACGAGCCCTTTCCAACATCTCATCTAAGTCCTGCTTGAGTTGATAGGATTAATGTCCTACATTCCAACTGATTGACAGTTGAACTGATTAACCAGCTATCCAAAGATGATATCCCCTCATGCATTAGAGTCCTCGAAATGACACTGGTCCAACTCACGCTCACTCAAGTGACATCACTTAAGGACATTTATTAGACATTGCAAAGACTTGTCTTTTAATGCAACCTATTTCATAAAAGCATTAGCACTCCATCACTCCTGTAAACAAACTTTAATGTGTAACATCGGTGGGTTTCTTTAATTCATAACTTTCTCTGACCAGCTTGATCCATGAGTTAAAAACATAAATCCTAAGATACACTAATTTGTGAGATAAAAAAGAAGGTTACAAAAAATAACATCTAAGACGTAGAAAAGATGTAGGTTGATCTCATGAGGTCAAATGGATGAAATACTCAACATTTTAATTCTCACAGGTTTTCCAAATCGGTTCTGGGTGTTTTCTATGCAGCAGGTGCAGCTCCTGGTCCAGGTCCAGACTCAGTTATGTGCTGATATGTCCACCAGCCTGAAAGCCTCCAGGAACTCATTGATGTCAATGCTCCCGTCCTTGTTGAAGTCGATGCTCTGGGCCAGGTCTGCAATGGCCTTGGCACTAATCTCTGTCTTCAGATGAGAGCGCAGGAGTTCCCAGGTCTGATGAAACTCCTTGAAAGAGATTAAACCTGAAAGGAAACACACAAGGAGGATGTAGTTGAAAAACTTTTGTAGCATAGATATCTAGTGTGACTGCATGCCTTGCATTTTGATGATTAACTTAAAGTTGGAAGGTGTTTTAATGAAGAATGAACAAAGAGCGAGAGTGTTTAAGATTTATATAAAGACCTTTTATTACAGTCTAGAAACAATACTTATCTTCCCACTGTTGTAGACATTTGTGAAATGTGACCAGCTTTTAGACAGAAAGACAAGAGGGTGTGGTGATTTGAGCTTAAAGCTAATGTGATTATGCAAACTCGTTTATATGTATTCTACCTACTAGATTGATAACACAAGATGGAAAATCAGGCATCAATCAAAGTCAGTAGGGTTTTATCTTCTTGGGAACATCCAATAGTTCTTGAGATATTTCAGTTTGGACCAGAGTAGTGATACCAAATCATTGACTTTCATGAAGTCTAAGCTGCAAGAGAAAACAAAAATGATCTTTTCAGTGGGATCCAAGTGAAGCTGTTTACTGACCTGAGTGATCTGTGTCTATGATCCGGAAAATGGTTTCCAGATTGGAGTGGTTCTTGTACATCGTATCCAGGATACTGTTATCTGAGATCTGAAATGGGAGAAACGAATATTGCTAATCTGTCTGTCAGTCTTACATAAACGGTGAGAAAGAAGGGTATATATCGGATATAAGTTTTATAGGCTGACCTCTAATTTGGGTTCAGTGATTGAAAGCTCCTTTATCCACTGCTGGTAGTCCATCATGCCATGCTGGGTGCTGCTGACAAGCTGAGGGCGCAGCACCCTCCAGGGCAGACCCAGATTCAGTACTCTCTCTGTGGTGCTAGCCCAGTTCGTCACAGAGATCATCCCTGAGGCACAGATAGAAATATACAGTAGAGTTCAATTCATTTTGAATAACTAACACAATAAGCTTCCTCTTGAGTGTTAGGGCATTTTTTACAAGCCATAGGCCATGTGGCTAGTCTTAATGAGTTTCTTTACTTTGACTTGACAGTAGTCATCTATTATCTCTATTGTCTTTATATCATCACTATTTTGGGGATTTTATTTAGCATACACTATATGTTCTCTTTGTCCCCAATGTCAGGTACATATCAGACTGCTGCAAACATTCCATGTCAGTCCTACCAAATCAGGTTTTACCAGTTGTTAACCTTTGTCCAACGTATAATCCTGCAATTTGGTTATTTTCCTGCTTTGAGTTTGATGGATCAGACTTAAGTGGTGGTAAGAGAAACTGCCCTAAAAGTGTAATGATCTATCACTGCTGCTCAGTACCTTTGTTGTTAGGATCAAACTCCTGGAAGGCACTGATGAGATCAGACCTATGTACGAAAAGTTGTTCCCTCAGAGCTTGCAGAGCGGATCTCTCCGTCCACCCAACACTGACAAAAAAGGAAGATTATTTTTTCAGTTACTCAGTAAATCTTGGAATCACTGGGAAATAAACTGATCATAATGGGATCATACAATCTCAATATTTTGCGATGTTAATAAAAATACATCTTTTGATGCTCCTGAACACATAATCGGTGATGTAACCAGGGGTTATCGGGTGTTTCGGTTCTTTCGACATCATACACTCTTGCCCTGGCGATGGCCTCTGGGATGGGTTTCAGAACCTGATCATAGCGCAAGGCCCTGGCAAAGAGCCACTGGGCAGCTGCTCAGGATGGGCTCCAACGTTCCCCTGCCTGAGCATTGCGGGCATGCCGGGTATTCCACTTTGCCCCAGGTGAAGAGGTTCGAATGGCTGGGCAAGACATGGTACACTGCCTGGAACAGGACTTTGATTCGTTGAGGTACTGCCCGTCGAAGATCAGTCAATGTGACTTTACGGTCCATGGCCTGGTCCCACCTCGTCCAGGCCCCTTGCTGCCTCAGGCCAACCACTCTGCTAGTCCGCTCCTCCTCAACTGCTGCCCTTACTTCCTCCTGTACCAGCCTGCGCCTCTCTTCTCCCCTGGCCTTGTCGTACTGGGGGGTTCTGAAGGTTCCCAGTCCAGCTCTCCCCTGCATCACTGTTCCCACTAGTGCTTTGTGGTGGATCTGAGACTTTGCTTGCAAAACAGCTTTGTCGGCTCTCCACTTCCTCCCACTTTTTACTTCCACCCCTGCCTGTGCCACCTTGGGGTCATTGGAGTCCTTATATAGCATTACCTCTACGGCTCGAGTCACCTTGAACTCCTCCTACAGGGACTTCAGGGGCAGATGGAGTTCGGTGTTGTTCCCGTACAGGGCGATACTGCTAAGGCTTCTTGGCAATCACAACCACCTCCGGAGGAAACTGCTGTTATGTCACTCAAATCACTCAACGGAAAGTGTTAAAAATGCGGTTCTGTCATTCTGATGTCTGTGCTGCCCTGTCTTTGTACCTTTGTCTCAGGGTGAGCTCTCTGCATGTGGTGCTGGCCTGATACTGAATGAAGTGGGGGACCAGGTCAGGTCCCATTCTGATGAAGGCGCCTCTGTTGCTGCCCACCTCGTAGTAATTAGACGCTGAAAATATAGTAATCACCTAAATGCAACATAAGAGTCAATACCGTAAGTCTTAACATGAACAGTAAACGTGTAGATATGCTGTTTTTTAATCACTCATTTCTAATTGCTTTCAGATTAAATGTTTAATTAAAAGGGGAAAAAAACGCACAACCGTCATTTTGCACTTTTTTCTTAATTTCCTGTTTTCTCCTGTCATACTCAACAAAGCCACTCAAAACCTAAAAGTGCGGAAGCCCAAAGTGGATTTGATGAAAGTATCATTTTAAAATCTAATTCCACTATTGTATAATCATTTTCCGTATATTTATGTTGTATTTCAGTAAATAATTCAACATCAATTTAGCCCGTACTCATTTTGGTGTTCAATGACCACATTACACATTTTTGTGTTTTGAGTAAATGCTAATTAAATCTTTGAAAAAGGAAAAACTATGTTTTAACACGTGGAAAATTGTAATGTTTTAAATAAATTCAAATCAACATTTACCATTTAATAGAGTCCTCTATGGGCTTCCATACAAAAGTACCTGTTCCCATAGTCAGTATTGCAACTTAAACTCTTTCTTGTGTGTCTTCGTGCTCACCCTGCGGTTGTGGCAGAACTCGTATCCGTCCTGTTTGCACTCGTGGGAGCGGATGAGGAGCTGCAGGTTGTTTCTTCGCAGCACCTCCTCAGTGACATCTGGCCCCCAGTAGCAGCCTCCGCCTCGCACCTCGTTGGGAATGCATCCATTTTGAGGCATTGGGTCACTCCACAACACGTCCACTATCTGGGAAGCCAAATGAATCAGTAAAAAAGTCAGTGAAATAATCAAATGTGTGCATTATGGAGCAATACTACATGTTGAACATCTGCCAAAACATTAACAACCACTGAGACCACTTACTTGTTTCCACTCATCCATATCTGTCTCTGTTGTTTTAGACTCCAGGTATGAGTCAGACTTCTTCAGTTCACATCTGGCCTGATCAAACCCAGACAGCCTCCTGTTTAGCTTCTCATCCACCGACAAGTCTAGCTTACTGCACACAGGGGTGTTGTGGAGTGAGCGGCGTGGGAGGTCGTGCCTGTGATCCGGGGCCGAGCTGTGGTAAGTCAGAGAACACACTCGACGCCGGCCTTCCACCTGACCACAGGCCTCTCTTTCCCTGTTTTCGTTCATCTTAGTCATACAGCCATGGACTTTCATTTTAGGAGGCCTGAGAGCCGATGCATACTGCAAACATTCAAAAATACACAGATGAAATACACTTGGTATGATGATCATGATAACAATTCTTAATTTGCTACCTGTAAATTGCCCCACATACACAAATGTTATTATCCCTGAAGCCATCTTACTTTTTGTCTGTCCACTCTAGCTATCTTGTCAAGGTCTGTGGTGTCAGAGATCCCACCGTGCACAATCAGCACTTTGTTATCAATCACTGTGGCCAAAGGTAGCCAGCTGAAAATCATCTGGAGGAGCTTTAGGATCTTCTTGCCATGCACCTGCAGAACAAAGCAAGCCATAAAGTGAGTTCTTAATATAACCTCATTATTTGTATTCATTTGGGCACATTCAGATGCAGACTAAAACAGGAGTAAAAGTGTATTCACTATTTCCAGTTGTGGATTAATAGACATTTGGTATTATGTGAGTTAGTACGCAAGCAGGTATTGGACTAACTGAGTCAAACTACTTCATGATGATGCAACATGTCCCCCAGGGTTGTAAATAGTCTTAGTACAACAAAATAGGACAATACATTGAGTTGAATGCAAATCAAACAAAACCTACCCTGTATTTTCCCAAAACTTCTTTAGTGAAGCCATATCTGAAGAAAACACACATTAAACTAGGTTAGTGTACACACCAGCTGTAGGTTGAATATAATAAGAATGACACCATATACAGTGTGAGCATTTTGTGATTGGCCTCTAACCTCAGATTAACAATGTGGTCCTCATGGTTCCCTCTGTTCAGATGGACATCATTGGGATAGACCAGCAGGAAGCCGAATAGGATGAGAAGGATCTCTAAAGAGTTTTTACCACGATCCACAAAGTCTCCATTAAAAACATATGGTTTATCAGAGGACGGCAAACCGTTCTGAAAGGGATACAATAAGATGACACCTTTTATTAAAGTGGACCTATCATGCTATATTTGAATAATATAGTGTAGGACCATACCTATATAAGGCATATTTATACTTTTTTTTTTTTTTAAATACCAAACAGATCATGCATTTTAGCCATGCCTCATTTTGCTCAATTTAAAAAAAAATTGCTCTGTTTTTGCAAGGTCTGATTCTGTGAGAACAGCACCACCTACAGGCCTGGCATATGTACTACAGCGTCTCCAGCGCTTTCGAACGGCAATGGCCGTGGCTGTCTCCTCCTGATTGGTGGAGTTGGCCCAATAGCCGTAGCGCCACTGTCCTGACGTCAGGACAGTGTTCAAATCTGGATCAGTTTTTATCAGATCCGTTGCAGCCCCTTTTTTAGAGATTTGGGTATGGAGGAAAATAGAGAGGGTTGTGTTTTCTGACACTTGGTGAGTTCCCTGGAACACCGGGGACACATATTCATGTATAAAAGACGTACAAAAGTGCATTTTGCATGATAGGTCCCCTTTAAGTATAACAAAATGTGTGGTGATGCAGCAGAAAACCAGAAATAAGTACAGATAAATACAGAACCAAAATATGAACAAGAATAATCAAAATAGGAGGTTAATACTAGTGCAAGAGTAGAAACTATACTATACGAGAATGGTCTATACAAGAGCAATTAAAGGCACTTTGGATTAGTATGATTAGAGAGAGTAAGGTGTTGAAATGAACATCTCTGTCTGACAATTTGATTAATTGAATGTAATGAGTACCTTGTAGAATATCAACAACAGGTCTTCAAGGTGCCCGTGTAGATCCCCTGGGAAAGAGATAAATAATTAATTCATATGTGTTACAGTGTAACTGCATGCTCAAGGGCGCTAAGAAAACAATGTGGGAGAAAAGATCTGAGAACACTATGTACAGGAAAGGCCTGCTGTTGAGTACCGCATATGGTAATCGGCTTTGTATGGCAGGCGATGACGTGACTGATGTTGGGAAAAGTTGTCAGAAGCCTCCAAGTCTCTCCAAGAAGCTGCAGAACATATCGAGCATGAAGCTGCTACTAGAAAAAAAAGAAAGTGTGTATAAACCGAGCACAGAGGAGAAAAAGCAAACCTTAGATTGAACACCTTTGGGGATATACTCATGTACTTACTTCTTTGTGCTTGAAGGCCTCCACCAGCTTCGACACCCTACAGAACGTCATGGGGAACGTCAGATGGGGGCCTGTGTAGCTTTTTGTCACCTCAATGCTCTTGTAGCAAAAATATCTCTCCCACTCGGTGTCAAGACAGATTTCATTCTTACGAAATATGTGGGATATAAGGTTTCCTATGGTAAAGGTGAAGAGAGGAAGTGAAAAAGTAAGGGCAAACCCACATTCTGTTTCTCAGCAGATAGTAGACTGGTTAAACTCAGATTATCTGACTGTCAGTAATCTAATGAAACCTACTCTGCATCAGTGAAGAGTTGAGGTCTGTTTTACTTTCACTGCTGGCTGGGGTGAAGTGGTCCATCAAGAAGCCAAAGAAATTGTAGAGCTGCAGGAAGAAAAAATACATGTTGTTAAATGTCTTATTTCGAAATTGTCAAATCAAAGTACTGGAAAAGATGACATTTAAAGTGGACCTATCATGGTATATTTAAATGATATATTGTAGGGCCATACCTATATAAGGTATATTTATACGTTTCTGTTTTCAAAATACCAAACAGATTATGCATTTTAGCCATACCTCATTTCGCTCAATTTGCACTTTTTTTTTAGCTCTGCTCTGCAAGGGCAGATTCAGTGAGAACAGCACCATCTACTGGCCTGGCATATGTACTACATACTACTACTCCAGCGCTTTCGAACGGCAATGGCCGTGGCTGTCTCCTCCTGATTGGTGGAGTTGGCCCAATAGCCGTAGCGCCACTGTCCTGACGTCAGGACAGTGTCCAAATCTGGATCAGTTTTTATCAGATCCGTTGCAGCCCCTTTTTTAGAGATTTGGGTATGGAGGAAAATAGAGAGGGTTGTGTTTTCTGACACTTGGTGAGTTCCCTGGAACACCGGGGACACATATTCATGTATAAAAGACGTACAAAAGTGCATTTTGCATGATAGGTCCCCTTTAAGATAAAAATGTAGGGGCCACTAAGGTTATTGTAATAAATCCCAGATGGACCATGGATGAGAAATATCTCAGCCATCCATCTTGTAATGATTATTATTTTTCAATCAAATGTATATATATTTCACTCTGAACCACAAATGTCAGCCTCATGGTGGTGCTGGAAGGTCTGGAGATCACAAAGTTGGTAAGATGTATCCTCTTGGGTCCATGAATGTCTGTTTTAAAATGTAATGGCAGTACATCCAATATTTAAAATGTATATTTCTTACCGACAGCCTGATGTTGCCATCCACAAGGCTTCTAAATGTTGGTGGGTAAGACGAGTTCTGTCAGTGCTCACCTTGATCTGGTCTTGCTCTCCTGCATATTCGATAGACTGGAAGATGTTCCACGTGCACCTGCGTCTCATCTCCAGCCGTGCAACATGCTGACGGTACCAGCGCTGGATCAACAGAGCCGCACTGATCGCTGCAGATTAGGAGACAAGACGGAAGCACTCGGACATAACCATGCTGAGGTAACCTTCCTGTTCCACTATGAACACATTCATATACTAAGTTTGATCCATTCTGCAAGACTTACCAGTGGCAGCTTCACAGCGTGCATACAAATTGAGTAGAAAAGTGAGTTAAAATTGCTTATTGAGACTTTTGTGTAAATATGTGATGGAGTAAACATATATTTACCTGGAACTGAGATGGACTCTAAAAATGAAAAATAGCAATGACACTGACATTAAATTATTGCGTAAAAAGGTACATTTGACTCTGGAATTTCACTGGAATAATAAAGGCAGCACCTTTGTGACATGTTTTCAGCAGTGGTTCAGACTTTCCCATACCACATCCCATGATCCTGTGCTGTTTTCACTGTCAAAGAAAAATATACTTTCCTGTGTGAGTGTGAAATGTCTGACCTTGTGTTTTGCAAGCTGCGAAATAATGAAATAATAGATTTTTATAAACAACAAAACACATTTCCCTGTTTCATCTGTTTCACTACAGATTTTTGTCATAACTCTTTGACTTTTTGTAATAAATCAATTGGACAATCAAGTGTAACAGTTAGGAGTAAAACAAATGGAAAAAGACACACATACTTGATGTTTTAAAACATAATGGCAAATGTATGCATGGACTACACACTTCAGCATTTCAAGTTTAAGTAATGTTTCCCAAACTTTTTTAAATAGAGCAATCAACAGTAGAAATCAAAGAAAAAGCACCAGACTGGCCGAAAAACCCTTACCTGTTCACGTTACCTTTCTTTCAATATCCCCCTCACTTCTTCTGAACCTTTAAAGAAAACTTTCCATTTTGTATGCCCCAAACCAGCCAGCCAAATTATATTTGTTTAAAGAAGAGAAAAGGCAGATATGTAGCATGTGTTATCACTCCATTCATTTCCAAGGCCCAGCAGCACAGGTCCCACTGTCTGTAATGTTGTAGTTAGATTTCCCCTCTTGAAGCTTCACACTCTCGTCCACCAACACACACATCGGCTCAAGTCTTGTAAATATCAAAGCCAAGTGTCCTGCACAAGCCCTGTGATCACTTTAACAAAACAAGATGCAAGTGGATTAGGATTAAACATTACTTCGGCTGTCATGTACGCTGAGTAAACGGATGATGGCTCTGATAAAGGGCAGTATCTGTTTTTAAATCTTGGCCTCGATGCAAGACCTGTGTCCTCCCTGTGACTAATGAATAATAACATCAATGTATCTTCATTAGTGGTTAATTGGCCATGGCTAGCCTGGATAGATAGACTTTAACATTAAATATATCATAGTACTAGTCATAGAAAGCACCCTTTATATTCAATACAACTCATACAAATATAGACACAACATTATCAAATCAAATAACAAGGTGGCAAACAGAAACAGTCCTTTTTTTACTTTCCTCACTATGCATGTAAGTGAAGCAGTCATGCAACAAGTAGAACACGCCAATCAAGGTTGAAGGATTGTAAATGTAACATTATTGGACAAGACATTAAACAATACTGCTTCCAATTATGAGATTCCATAAACTAATAATGGGGGTGCTGTACAATGAGTCTATTGAATTGAATTGTTGCAGCAGGTGTTCTGTCTATCCACAGTCATTATGTTCAAGTCTTGTCGGGCACAAATTAAATCTTAATAGCAATATTTCCCACAGAATGAATCTCCTGTAATGTAGCTTTCTATCTCGCTACACCAAATCCTGCCACATTTTTTAATAATGTCTTGTTGAGATTCATCCCAAGAATGTCCTCTGTGTTGTGTGCTTGTGAACATCTGCATGGTGCTTCCTCCGCAGCCCTTGGCCTATTTATAAAGACTATCTGTGATCACAGCCAGCAGTAGCAGCTGCGGTGGTGTGACTCCCTGCTGTAGTAGAACAAGGAAATGGTGGGAGATGTCTGATACTCAAGGACTCCGCTCATGTATACGTCGAAGGTGGTCGAAAACTGCATTATTCCACAGTGACCTAAGGTGTGCATCAATGCGTTATTATAAGAATACAGCCGACAATTTTACACATTTATGTTAGTGTAAACAAATCCCATGAAAAAAAAAAACATACATTTGTTTTTGGTTTGTATTAACAGAAATATGACATAAATACATAAAAAAAAAACTTCACAGTAAAAAATAATCCAAGATAAAGATCAAACTGCTGCCTTCTGATAAAACACATATTAGCAAGTATGTGAAGATTTGAGATAAATATATATTTATCTGTATAAAATATATATATATATATTCTATACAATCTATAGCTAGTTAGAAAGATAGATGGATCAAATTATTTATTATTTAAATTGACGTAAAAAGAAAAATGATTTTGTGTAAAACAGTCACCCTAAAAACCTATAAAAACTCTCTGATACAAGACACAAAGATGGCTGCCTTATGGGCCATCAGATATCATTTGATAAACAGCTGATATAGATATAGAAATATATGAAATATCCCCGGAGTTATCCTCTAAGACTTTATTTTTGAATAGTGTCAATTTATCACCATTGTTGAGACCTGATGATCATTTCAGAGCTCAAATCTTCACAGTGTTGTTTAGACCTGTAGGAGGTCTTGTGCAAGAACACATGACATACTTGTGTTATTATGCCAAGATAAACATAACCAAAGAAACAAAGTGCTTTGGGGTTACAAATGGTTCAACAGCGAAGGAAACGATTACTAGTTAAAGAGAACTCATTTTTAAAATTGTACTTTCATAACATTGCTTCAAGCCTCGACTGTGATCTGAAATTGAAATATAAAGAATTTTCCTGCTCTCCTTATTTCAGTGCCTTCTGCAAAGTTAGTGTTTTTTGAGAGGTATACACTACTATGCTGACAAATGCATGCAATACGAAAGCCATGTTTGTGCAGTGGTGCATCTACTGCCAACCAGCAGTAATGAACTTAACCTGCACTTCAGAACTGTTATTTTACATTAACTGAAAGAGTATTGCCATGTCTTGTATCAGCCTGTACCAAAAATTCCTGTGGCACTGCCTATTATGATTTGTCGTACCCTCCAGCAGTAAAACTGTGTTCTTTGGTGCACTATGCAAATATTGCTGTGACCCAGTTTAGTCCACAGTGAGTTAGTCTCTGATTAAAGGGGCCATAATGACTTGAAACTACCGTTCCTTGCTTGCCTCTCAACTCAGCCTCGTGTTTTGCTCTTTACTCTCATAGAGATGGATAGTTGAGCATGTATGATACTGGTAGTGTGGAATAATATGGTTTAAACAAGTACAAGTACACTACTGTATGAGTGGCATCAGAAGGCCCAATGAACCTTTTTTTGTTGAAAAGAAGTTTAAAAAAAGAATATGTGAAAGTTTATTCACTGACTATTTAAAGATGTTTTTGCATCTTTTACTTTGTGTAGCAAAACCATATTCTTGATTTCAAATCCTCCCTAAGAAATCACATCACAGTATCACAGTATTGCACGTCCGGGAGAAATAACTGAACTGATCTTTTTCACACAGGGACAAGGCAACAATGTGAAATATCTCAAGGCCAAGCTTTGGTACAGGAAGATAAAAACCCATGTTCCCAGGCCCTGACAAACAATACCTCGTGAAGCATCACTGTCTGGTCACTCCTATCTTCTCTTCCAACCAGAGTCAACCGTAGTCGGCCGCAAGTCCGAATTTGAGAGCAGTTGATCCAAAGATTGACCATCCGGCCCATACACCATGTCCTTTACGTTTATTGTCATGACGATGCTCCTGGGCTCTTCGATGGTGTTTGCATTTGTCTTGCTGCCACCCGAGGAAGTTGCTGCTGCCCCTGCGAACTCTCCTGTGTCGCAGCACAGGTCAGTACCAACCTATCTGTTCCCTGTCTCTAAAGTGCTATATGTTTGATTTCTAAGAGCGCTATTGGTAAATGTTTTATTTCAGGAGCAAATTTTCTTTCACGTGTTTTGGTACCTAAATAATATTACGCTTTTGTTTGCTGTGTAGTGTATCCATTTTATTATAGATTGCAGGCCCCTATTCAGAGGGGTTCATTTGATACACTGATATCTGAATGAAAGTTGGTTCTATAGAAACCCACAAATATGCATTATGAATGTGTTATATTAGTCTAAAAATGGTGTAATTGAATATGTCTGCATGCTGGGGTCCCAATGAAGTTGAATTGCATATATTGGGTATGACTTAATACATCTGAGACTCTTTATGATGTTAGTCCTCATTTCACTGTAGTTTTTTAAGCTTGACCTTGCTTTATAAAATCTGCTTTTTATGAAATACAGCCTCTTGAAACATTACAACTACAAACTACAACACTTGGGCATTCATAGAATATATGGCTTTCATTGATATGTAGACATCAGGCTTCTGAGCATTTCTCTTTAAAAAAAAGTGCTCCCCATCCAATCGCTAATCAGATTTCATGCAGAAGGTTTTTGATACCAAGTCACAGTTGTCCTCTTACTAGTGTTCCAAAAGGTCTTGGGGTGTTAAAGTGTTATTTTGAAGTCATTTTTTCAGTCTCAAATTTTAGAATGTGTTTAATTTTGCATCAAATCTGTGTATCAAATTCCTTGTGATGTGGACCTGCTATCTCTCCCCTTATCTTGTCAGGTTGTAGAGGTTAATACATATTTTGAATAACCTCAGTGCTGCAGACTTGCTTAACAGATAACATATCCATGATGTGTGCGTGCTGAGTAGTTCTCAGGGAAAAAATAAATTCCTGGTAGGATTTAGCATCATTTTGATTTCTAGGAATTTGCAGAGCTGTAACATGCTGTTTCAATTAAGCTTCAGAAGTGTCATCTCTTCCACAGAGGAATTTGTGTATGCCTAAGAAAATAGTCCCAGAGCTATTGAGGTTATTGAGAGAGTACATGTCTGGCATGTGCAGCTGCTCACAACTACACTTGTTTAGTCTTGATTGGATTGTTAACACAATACTTATTTTTTTGTCATGTAGAGCATTTCTTCAATTTTTCTGTGTAATCCTTTTTAATGCAAATGTAAATGTAACCTTTTATATGATGTTTAGGTGCTCGGGGGGGTCATTGCAGTCCATCAGACAGAGTCTCCTCGAGGGCCTCAACTTGCAGGCTGAGCCACAGCTGCCTGCTGGTGTGCTGGACGGTATTGGAGAGCAATGGAGGACCACCTTCGGCTCCATTGCCCACAGAGTGAAGGACAATGGTGGTACGTAACACCCTAACACTTTGAAGAAACCTTTGTAGAGCCCACATTTTGTACAGCTTTAATTTAATCTTAAGAGGTTTTCACATTCAAACTGAATTGAACGTTTTTTTGTCCTTACAGTTCCAGTGGCCTCTGGCAACTCTGTGTCCCCTGATGGTGGAAACAGTACAGACCTGAAGTGCTGTTCCATGGCCTCTGAGATCTTCATGAAAGGTATGCACCAATGTGTGCATGTGTTCATGTATGCATGCAAATTGACATGCAAAAATATATAAATGCATGTACTAAAATGTCCATTATTATGTGTTTCAGATCTGGGCTGGGGAAACTGGATGATCCATCCTGCCAGCCTGACCATCGTCCAGTGTGCACTCTGCAACCCCGCAGGGCACCCTGTGCAATGTCCACCATCCCTAACCATCCCTAATGCCATCACTCAGGTATAATTCTCTATATTAGAACAGTGAAATACATGTCCTCCAACCCCAATTACCTTATTACTGTTAAATGTATAGCTTTGTTTATTGTACTTGCTTCCTCTTCTACAGTCCTACACGTCTTTGTTCACCTCTTTGCCTCAGTTGCATTGGAGCTACAAACACCAAATAGTTTGCCTGTGTGTGCTCAGGAGGGAAAACAGCTGCCAATAGATAAGCCTGTTCTCTCACTCTGCCAACACAAATATACAAATGAACCAAATTCAAGCTGAGACACTCCCAACACGTTGGTCAATCAGAAATGAATGCAGTGTACGTGCTAAAGAAACAGAAAGTTTTGTACCATCTTTATGCGATCTTATAAATAACTTTGCAAAAGAAAATACAACTAAGATCTAGACTGCATCTTTTAAATGAAACTGTTTGGAAACTAATTTGTAATTTGTTATTTTATATTGAATTTTTCTACACTTTTTTATGTCTGTACTTTATGTGTAACACATCCACCATAGCATGCAACACTTTTTTTGCATTTCTATCAAGAATATAAATATTCACACGTTCTTAACGTCCTTTTTTGTTCAAACTGTGTTATCCAACACCTCCTCTCTTTTTCTCTCTCCAGGTGCCATGTTGTCAGCCCACCTCCTTCCAAATGGTGCCTGTTCTCTATGTGGATGAGTTCAGCACCCTCGTCATCTCCTCCGTGCAGCTGGCCAGCAGCTGCGGGTGTGGGCCTAGTAACCTCCAGCAGCCAGGCACAAAGTAAAGTTTGTTTTATAGTCCTGTGTATGTGAACCACCTGGTGCACACACTCACACAAAATACAGAACAGTTAGTGATACATTATATGCATTATCTTCTCTCAATAGACTTATCTTAGATCCTTTCAGTGTGTATTCATTGTCATTCAATTTTTATTTTAGAGGTTAACTGCCAATGATTATTATGATGATAATGATACTGCAGGGCAGACCCGTAAAAAATGCATTTCTGTAGATAAGCCCAACTATTTCTCTTGCGCCAAGAGCTGCAGAGAGCTGGAGGCGAAACACTGCCAGCTAATCTTTAAATAAATCTCATGGGTGAAGAGCGCTATTTAAAGCTGCTAACTATTACAGAGTGTTCCTAACAAAAATGTGAGACTGTACAGAGCCAAATCCTTACTCATACCAGTTGTTTCCACCCATCTGTGAACAACTCCTTTCTTGGGCAATTTAATTCAAAAGGCATATAAAAATTATAATAATATACATATATATGACAACAATTCATAATCACATTTCACATCAATTTTTCCTGAGTAGGGACATCTTCTGTATGGTGCTTTCTTTTAGCCCTTTCAACTTACAGAAAGCAACAATGCCCCATTGCAACCACCAAAACACATTCACTTTTGGAATGAATCATAATTAGGTATAAAAATAACAATTGTTTCTTGACATAACCTTCTTTGAGATATGCCATTAGATCATAGTTTTGACCCAAAGCAGTTTTTCCCTTTTTTTTCTTTTTCATAAATGAACCCAAAGAATGTTGTTTGATTTAAATAAATGTCCATTTATATACATTTTTGACAGCAGAGTTCTTGTTTTCCCTCATATGCCTGTAACTTGCTATAGTTCTCAGTTGATCATTTTGTTAAGCTTTTGTCTACTGCTGACTTTACAAAATTACCTCACCATGTACTTTATTTTATTTTTCAACTATTACTTATTATATTGACATAGCACCATAACTTAATCTATGTATTTAGATCTCGTACAAAATATTGTATTTTGCTAATGAAACTGCTATAGCATGCTAATCATTTGTACCAATTTCCTGATTTTTTGCTTACAAACTTTTGAATAAAGATGATTCAAATCAACATTTGTTTGCTCTCAGTTGTTTTTCCTGCAAACATTTATTATGGACTATAACTCTTGATTATTATGTTGGTAAAGCAGTTCCTTAGTCCAGCCTTTAGGTGTTTCACATTTCTAGTCTAGAGGGAGGAAAATAACCTGGAGGCACTGCCCTCCAGGAAACCCTCCTCATTTCAGCGTAAGAGCAGCATGTTGCGCACTTCTGAAAGTCTTGAACGTTTATAGCTGCTGTGCATGCAATTGTACACAACATTTTTATACGTTTTTTCCTGGCTGAAGTTGAATCTTATCCTATGGTTGTCAGGTTGTGCAAGCAATATATTGATCCAGGACAACAACTATTCCACAATAGGACAAGAAGATCTGGACCAATAGCTCAACATTGCCAGCAATTGGATGTTTTATTGATACTGGACAGAATGTCAACATATTTCACTTTGTGGGTGTTTTTTGGCATACTGTCCCCCCTTCTGCTGGCTGCGGTGGCAGCTAATTGTTCAGAGAGGGAAGGGTTGGTGAAACTGCTGCCCAGGAGACCCTTAACAAACTGTTTGATCGAGTGCACTGAGATGACCTACCATAAGAAAATTCAACTTCAGGACAACCATAACATACGGCTCTCATATTGCACAGAAGGTAAGGCATCTCTCAGTTACAATTTCAACTGTCCTTGACTAAATGTGCAGACAGATATCAGTAGTGCAGGTGGTCTTCTTATGTCAGGCCATCGCTGTCTGACTGTTTTATGTGGCACATCCGATGTGTATAGCCCTTCATAAATGAGTCTCTCTTCCTAGGAGACCCCGGGGAATACTGTTGGTCTACGGAGCTCAAGTGCAACATTGGAGAAAGCTTGGTGCAGGCCTACGTGGTGTTGCCTGTGGATGTATCTGTAGCTGGACATGAGATGCTGGAAGTGAAAGCCACTGTCCCCTCTGCCACCACACTGCTCAGACACAACAGCCCCACCACAATCGCAGACGACTGTGGCCTCCAATACGACGTGACGCCACAATTCAGTACCGAGAACACGGGGAACTCTTTCTGCGTACAGGTTGTTTCCCCGGTTGTTTCCCCGGTTGTTGTTCTCGAATGTCTTCCTTTTCTGGTCACCTTCTGGGAGAGAAAACCAAATCAGATCAACCAAGGAGGTGATGGATAAAATACCCATATATTTTACTAAAGTAAAATAACTAATGCATACTGTACATATACTCAGTCCTGCATTGAGCATGTTACTTAATTAAAAGTGCGTAGGCATAGTAACTAAAATGTACTTCCAGTATTACAATTTGATATCATTGTATTGTTATCATCTCATTCATTAATGTGTAACCATCACTTTTGTAATTTTTTTATTTTGAGCTATTTTATTTAAGGTTGCAACTGTTGATTATTTTCATTTTGGATTAACCCTTATGTTGTGTTCGGGTCTCCCGTGACCCGTTTCAAGTTAAAATGATATAATAACTACGCTTTAGTTTTTTTTATTGGAACGAGGCTTCATGATTTCAAACCTTTATTTAACCAGGTGGTCCCATTGAGATCATTGATCTCTTTTTCAAGGGAGACCTGCAGATGATATCCTCCACAACAGCTATATAAACACTACAAAACAGATGTTGACAATTTTAGCCAAGTCTGAAGGTCTATAATTTGGTGTTCGGGTCTGGGAAGACACAGCAGAATTGTTGTGGGTGACTCGGGGGCAAATTTGGCCCAATCAAGATTCATCTTTCACTTTAGACACCCCAGCCCCACCCCCTTCATCCACTGTAACAATAGTTATTTCACAACATGCACCTGGTTGCCCATCCCTCCCCCCCACGGAAACTCGACCTTTCACAAAGAATATGTACACTAACACTTGAACCTGAACACACACATGCACGTGTGCAATATGTGGTGTAATGTGTTTTGGGGCCATAAAAGAAAATTACAACAGGATTGTACGGTTATGAATGCATTATAAGTTAGTTATGATGTAGTTAAAACAATATTGGATGATAGTCATTATTTTGGAGTGTTTTGGACTGAGATAAATCATGGGTTAAAATTGACCCGCAAACACCATGAACGGTAACAGCTTTCAAACACAACACAACGGTTAAGCTCATGATTATTTTCTATATTCATTGATTGATTGTTTGGTTTTACAACCTCACAACTATTGGACAAAGGCATAGAAAAGCAAAACAAGCTTTTTTTGTGTGTTAAATGACAGACAACCAACAAAGTTGTTTCCAATTAATCTGTTGTCAATTGTTTTAGATATAATTTAGATGTCATATTGTATAAGATCTTATTATGTTTTGTATGCAAACATCTTTATTTGTAAAATAACTAGTAACTAGTAGGTGTCAAATAAATGTATAGGACTAATAAGTACAATATTTCCCTCTGAAATGTAGTTGAGTAGAAGTAAAAGGATAATTAAATGAACAGTCCATCTAAATTGTGTGCTTGAGTACTGTAATTGAAACAACGCTTGACGCAACTCCCCACACGTTGTGTATGATATTGTTAAAGCTTGATTTATGTGACTTTAAACTTTTTGTTTTGTTGTGAAGGTATTTGATGGCATTTGACCATAGAAGAGCATAGGGCTGTGCGATTATGGCAAAAATCATAATCACGATTATTTGGGTCAATAATTGATATCACAATTATTAAATACGATTATTCATTGACTTTGAAAAAATCCATTTATTGAGCTTTAAAACAAATACAAATAATAATTTGAACAGTATCTTTTTAACTGTTGATTACCCTGGACGTATAATTCAACTGAAAAACCAATACAAAAATAAATGATACATTTAAATAAATAATATCAAAATAATAAATACCAATAAACAAGATCAACAAATATTTTGGAGCGCACTTCCACAAGCTACTAAACATATATAAATATGATAAATACAAATAAATGAGACCAAAATTAATTAGATCAAATATGTTGCAGTGCACTGTCACAACCTAGCAAAGCAAAATAATTTTTTTTTTCGATTATGTTGTTTTCGTATTTGTGGCAGGCCAAAATCGTAATTGCGATTAAAATACGATTAATTGCACAGCCCTAGAAGAGCATGTGGATCACTCTAAATGTGTGAATCCATCTTTGTTAAGCAATAATAGAGACTTTTGAAGATCTGAAAATATATGATTGGTCCAGAGTGATGCAAAAGATGTGAATGGTTGTAAGTCTTTATGGCAATATTAAAACAATTTATTTTTATTTTGTAGTTGATGTTGTTGTGTTTCAATGTTGAGATTCATTCAATGATATAAATGTACATTTTTTCTAAAGAAGAACCTACTTTTGCAATCTCAATTACTATTACAATAAATTGCAAAACAGAATATCAGTAAGTATACAAAAATGCAAATAAATTAGATTGGACTAGTGTTATATTGTTGTACTTTTATGTGAGAATGTGCTGCTCTGGTAATGTAATGTTCATCCATTTACCAAAAAAAACACAGCTTTTTATTCAAATGTCGGTTATTTTGTTCTAGTTTCTAAGTTTGGATTATTATTTATTTTATACACTTTCTTTATAAGTCTAACAGGTTGAGGGCAGAGTGAAGAACTGAATACCCTCCTTCCCTGCCAAACACCCTGTCCTGCTTTAGAAAGGTATGCGGTTAGAATAACCTAGGAAAATCGCCAAGCATTAGGGAGGAAAGCAACGAAATGTGTCATAAAATAACCATATTAGGCATGCCTTATCAGTTAAAATGTTAAACATATATGTATACAGTAGACATCATTCAGACAAATGTATAGTTTAGGAGTTCATAAAAAAAATCGCAGTTCTTTCTGTTCCAAATGTATCTAAATCCCTTGTTTTACACAATCTTCCTGCAGATATATTTGGTTAATTGTACAGTTTATCAATTGTTTTTCTGCTACGCATTAAATGTAATATGGAATATCCATAAAATGTATCTCTCAATCAGGGGTCATAATTGAACTCAATGGTAGAAAGGGGAAAGAGGTTTGGAACCACTATTCTATTTACAGGAAACTACTACCACCTACTGGTTATCATTTAAACTACTAAAAGTCTCAAACTTCAGTCCTGCACACTTGTGACTGTGCAGTATCGTTTGTGTGTATGTGTGTGTGCAAAAGATCACCAAGGTCATGTTTCTTTTGAATATATTTAAGTTTTTTACTTTGAACACACATTTGGACTGATATACTGTATATCTTACTCACCCATGATATTGTTAATAGGTATACAACTTAAACTATAGGTGATTAAATAAATACATATATAAAAATGAATATTCAAATATTCCCAAAAATATTCATTAACAAAATAAATACATAATTAAAACATTCTCTAAGGACTGATAAATGGTCCGGGGTCTATAACAGTACACCCTAGTATCTAGGGTGCATAGAAACAAGCACAAGAGGAACATATCCTTAATGTATTCTATTGTATTACATACTGCATGTCATAATTATTAGGCCCCAGCAGTTACATCTTTTTTTTGGGCAAGTGACATGGTCCTCTCAGCTGTCCCGAGCCTCCACTAAATGAAGCAAGATGATCTCGATGTGCTCTGCTGGAAGTCGGCCAGTAGCAGCATAACATAACCAGCCGGGGTGAGTGTCCAATAACAGGCCTTTCAGCACAGCCTGTGCTTTAAGCCTGCATTAAATCATACACGTGCTGGTGTCAAAGCTCTAACAACAGGAACACACAGACAGAGGCTGCATAATTCTTTTGTGACGCATCTAATCAGCATGTTTGTCTTGCATGTCTGGTTTAAATGTGTAAACTGATTTGTCTGCTTTCTTGTCTACAGGCTAAGCTATAAAACCTACAGGAGACATCACAACCACTGGCAGTATTTGAGCTCTGTGTCATCAAATCTGAACCCACTCACCAGAACTTGCACCAAGGTGGCATGGTGAGTCAGAAGACTTTATGATCTGCCTCAGGAGATTGGGCAGGTGATTGAATCACTGCTTGATTCAGAGGTCCTACTTTTTAGCTGGGAACAAGGTAAGGTATTTCATCAAAAAGCAATCACAAAAGAGTGTGAAAGATGTTCCTTGAATTCAATTCATTCATGTTTACATTTGATTCGGTTATTAGAGGGCAAATAAACCAAGAGCCAATTATTTATGTTAGTATATTATTATGACAAGGGAGATGCAGTACAGAACACCTTTCGGATCAGTGGAATAACATAATTGTGTCAACCAATATATTGTAACATCTTACCAAATGACATAGAACAATATTTTAAAGACAAGCAGGAAACAAATGGTTACAAATAAGTATGCTACCCTTTATTGCACCTTTTGAGACACAATTCTGTTTTTTTGCCTTCTGTGTGAAGCTTTACCTATCTTTTCTTATTATTTTAAAGTCAGATACTTATTTTTCACCATTTGTCAACAGTCACGAAAAATTAAGACCATTTGAAAAACGGGAGGAACCTAAAAATCGGCTATTAAAACTTTTAACCAGGACTCTGTTGTAAAAAAACATAACCAAACACAGATGACTGTACCATGTCTGTCACGCAGGGGTAACAGTGTAAAGTTAGGACAAACTATCGTGTTTAGGAAAAAACGGTAAATAATAAAGTTCTTACCGAACATATTTGTTGTATTTACTAATAGAATAGCAACACGACTGCTTTAGACGCTTTTTGTGACAAGCTTGAAGTGCATTGAGTGTATAAAACTGAGCTTGGCCCCCGGCTGGCTGAATAGAGTAGAACAATCCAGTAGACGGAGAAAGAGAGAGAGTGGACGACCCAAACACGGACGGTTAGCAGCAACTATCAACCAACGGCCGCCTGACAGCCCTTTAAAATAACAAATTCTTCAGCGGTAAAACAAGAAAAATGTGACCAAGTGAGAAGAACAGCTTGGCGAAGACTGTCAGAAACGCATGACAACCAACTTTGGTTGTTGAGAGAGGCGCACCATGGCATCTCAGCCGAGGTAGGCAGACACAGCTAGCTGCTAACAGCAGGGCGCTAGCTCCTCAGCCTGACCGGGTAACTACCCTTAATTAGCTAGATACGGTTAGTCTGATAACTAGCAGCGCACTTGAGCAAAGTAAACTTTAAGTTTATAACTCTGCAAAGGTATCAGAATTAAAGGGGTGTTTTTGTTGTTGTTAATGCTAAACCGACATAGACGATTTTGGCTTTGGTAAGCAGTACGAGGAAGAGGTGGAATCAGCTGGAAAAAGCAGGCTGGTGTGATTTCTACCAGCTGGTTAAAGGGACTGCTGTGTGTATACAAGCTGTTCTTTTTAAATGAGCAGCCACATGTTTAATTTATAAAGCATTCTTACAAGTGATCCTCAGTGAATTCTTATCTGCCGTGTTTTGACCAACTTGGAACTTTGGTTTAAAAGTTGGATAACAACAGAAAGCTATTTTCCTAAAAATAGAGGACAGAGAGGATGCTCAACTCAACCACCCTACCACTAAATCATAATCTGAGCAGAATATATTAAATTTGAGGCACAATTATGCCTAACATGATGATTTATTTTCTCCTATAATCATGTGGCTTCAACTATTAACTCAATTAAATGACAAACAACATCCAACTTTTTAATTTATCTTAACATATTTATTATTGCTATTCAGCTGCTTCAACATGCGAAGGTCCTGCTATTATATTCAAAACAAAGAAATACACTTTGTTCTCTGGAGACTGGGATGGACGTTCTTTATTATTTTCTGACGTTGTATAGGCCGCACAATTATTAATCCATGATAAAAGTAATTCTTGGTTGCAACCATAAAGTGGTACATATCCACTTTGTGCAACAATGTCAATATGAGTGAATGTTATGCATATTTGCAGATGTCTGAAGCATGCAAATCACTTTAAAGTCACTATTTACCTTGTCCTGTTTGGCATTTTTCTTCTCACAATTGTGCTCTCCATATTAATTAAAACTTGACTTAATACTACTAGCAGATACTTGACTTTGGTGTCACCCCCTGTATCAGCTCTCATAACTTCCTAAATGTGCTACTGTTTTCACATGTCAGACGTTTACCAGGACGACTGGATTGACTAGAGTCATATTGTGAAACCCTAACCCTAACCCTAACCTTTGGTGGTTGTTTAGGTGTGCAGTTCTGATTTTAGTCTTCAGGTTTCTTGGCTTTTGTCTCTCGTTGCTTTAAGTTCCACTGTGTTGCAAGTTTCTCCGAATCTGAATGATGGGCTTTCCTGACTGGGCTTGACTTAAACAATATATTGTTTTGTTCAAACCATATTGTTTAAATAGGAAATATAATTCCTGTTCAAACAATACAACTACTCACAATGCCAACATTTAATTTAATCACAAAGTAGTGCAAACTAAATTGATGAGCATTAAACAGACATGCAGTCTACCTGTGTGCTGTTGAAGCCTGTATATGTGCACGTGTAAACGGAGATTAA